AGATGGGAAGGGGACCTGGGTACAGGAGATGAGAGGGAGGGAAAGGGAAGGGGAAGTAAGATCAAGATATGTGTACCAATACTCCATGATGACTATATTCATTATGCATCACAAATATATACCAATAAAAACTAATTAAAAAATATAAAAAGCATTCATAGTTCAGGGTGTACATTTAAATTAACCCTCCTCTCTTATCATTAAGCCTCTGAACAAGTATTTTTATCAGCTGATGTATACCAAGTAATTGCTAAGTTAACTTTAAAAAAAGCTTTATTGAGTTATAATTTACAGTTTTAAAGTTTGTAATTCAGTAGCCTTTAGCAAGTTTTGCAGAGTTGTGGAACCATTTCCATAATATCTAATAATTTTAGAATAGTTTCATCACCCCACCCCAAAGTTAACCTTTTTTTGGTGGCTGTGAAGTATAATATATGTGCAATACAGCACCCCTTTTTTGAGTGAATAGTTTGAATGTTTATAAATTTAACCTTAACAACCAAAAGAAAATATTTTTAGGAATACTTTTATCACATGCACTGAATCTTACTTTGCAAATTCTCCCAATTGATCTCTACTCCCCCCATACTGCAAACCAGTGGTTCAGAAGTCCCTGGACCAACCGCAACCACATCACCTGGGAACTTGCTAGAATTGGGGCCTACCCAACAATGTGTGTTTTGACAAGTTCTCCAGGTAATTTTAATGTACACTAACATTTGAGAACCACTGCTCTGAGGTATATTCCAGTGTGGAATTGCTGAGCTGTGTTATATTGCCATGTTCAACTTTATTGAGTACTACCAAACTGCTTCCCAACTGGTTATACTCGCATATATTCAACTAGCAATATATGAAAATTCCTATTGTTCCACATGTGGAACATCCAACACTCTAGAATGAGAATGTGCAATTTAAATAATTTTTCTGGTCAGTCTGGTAGGTGTAAAAGGACTATGATCTTAATTTGCATTTTCCCACTAAGATTGAGCATGTCATATGTTCATAGGTTGAATTTTGTGTTCTATGATATGCTATTTGTATTTCTTTTTCCTATTGGAGTAAATAAACACAATGCATTGAAGTAACTGGAGAACAAACTTAGAATTCCTAAAGAAGAGAGAAACTTGGGGAGAGGGGTCAAAGGAAGATTCCCAGGGGAGTGACAATCAAGCAGTTCTGAAAGAACAGGGATTTGTTAGATAGAGACAAGGCCATCTATGTTTTAGAAACAGCTTGATCTGATCAGGCAAAGCAAGTAATGTGGTGTGGTAGACTACTAGGGTGTATGGAGGAAAAGAGACACATAAAACCAGGAAAAAGGTAGAAAGCAACTAGATGTATACATTTTAAATTTGTTTAATCTTTTACTCATTGTTGGACATTTGAGTTATAATCAGTTTGGCTGGGTTACTTTTCCTTTCCTATTATAAACAAAGCTGATATAAACATCTTAGTATATACATAGCTGCTTCATTTTCCTTTTAAATTATTTTCTTAACATGTTTAACTGAAATTACTAGATTAAAGGAAAGAAAGTACGATTAATTTAATAGTTTCTTGCCTGTTTCAAGGTTAACTTTCATTAGTAATTAGGGAAATGTAAACCAGAACTACCAGGTGATACTGTGTCATATTTACCCCTGCGACACTGCTGGTGATTGTAGCCCTCATGGCTTCCCTCTTGGATTGGCTTTGATCACTCCTTGTGGCTCTCCTCAGACATTTCATGTTCCTGGCTTCTCCAACTTTCTGTGGTCTCCACTACACTTTTGGCTTCACACTCCCAGCTCTGCACACTGCCCTCTCAGGAAAACAATGCCTGGACTTCCAGGCCTTCTGATATCTTGGTGGAAGCTTTCCTAACCCCACAACTCTGACATTATGTATGTGTGTAAAAACAGCACTATGTGGATGACACCAAAGTCTGGCACGAGCTTGAATAGTAATGGAGCCCTTTTGCATCTTGCTGGTGGTTGCAGAGGCCTCTGAGTGCCTGAATGACTGACATGGTGAACTGAATTCTGGGGAATCAATTCCCATTCCCTAGGCTGCTGCCATTTTGGAGCTTGGTACCCTGGCTCTCTCTTCTCAAAGCAAAGTCTTTCTCTTTTCTATCTTGGAGTCTGCAAAGGGTGCGGTCTTTTAGATTCCTTCAGTGCCCTCAAGATACCCTTTGCATTGTCCAGATCCAAAGTACTTGGCTTCTTTGTAATGCTAAACACTACTTCATCTTTTCAGGTTCTAACTTTACTGGAGCTTCCTTTCTGGCCAAACTGAAAACTTTTAAAATCATTCAGCTGTGCCTTTTGCTCTTGATTCTCAATGTAGAGCTGGCTAAAGCCTTAAACAGTACTCAAGCCACATCCTGAATGTTTGGCTGCCTTGAAATTTCCTCTGCCAGATTAATTAGTCTACCACCCTTATCTCAGTCTTTTGCAAAGTTTCAGGACACGAGCAAAATGCAGACAAATTTTCTTCCAGAGCATAACACACATTGTCTGGAGTCCAACCACTGATGGGAGTCCTTCCCAAATGAAACCTCTTAAGCCTGGTCTTCTCTGGCTGCATTATTGTCAACATTCTAGACTTCTGAGCTCCAATCATAAGCCCCCATCAAGATTGGCTCACAGCATTCTAGACCTGCTTCACCAGCCAGGTCTCCAATCCTTCCCAAACTCTTCCCACAAGCCAGTTCCAAAGGCTTCTGAATCACGTGGTCAGGTCATGTCACAGCAGTGACCCCGTTTCTTGTACCAAAATCTGTCTTGGTTACTTTCTCATTGCTGAGACACAATACCCGACACCCACAAGTTAAAGAAGGAGAGGTTTGTTTTTGGCTCACAGTTTGTAGAGGTTTCAGTCCATAGTCTGCTAGCTCCAAGGCAAGGCAGCATGGCAGAAGAGCATGGCAGAGGAGAAACGGAGAGATATCCAAGGAGGAGGGGGAGATGTAGACCCTTCTAGGCCACCCCCTCAGTGCCCCACCTCCTCCTACAGGATTTCATCTCCCAACATCACATTTAACTATAAATGTAATAGTGGGCTAACTCCTGATGAGAATATCACACCTCCATTATCCATTCACTTACCCAAAGTCCAGCCTCTGAGCACATGAGGCTTACCGGGGGACATCTAGATAGAAACCATAACCGTGGCTGTATGATTGATTATTCATGAACTGATGGCAATAATTTTCAAAGCCACCAGGGGGTTAGAACCAGAAAGTTGGGGACTACTTAATTATAGTATCATACTGAGGACTACTGAGATATAAATAATAGTTAGTATAGAAGGTTGTATCCTAATTATGTATTTTTAAAATTTAGTTCCTGACACTATCAATTTTTCAAGAATACCTAAAATACTTACTTTTAAAATTTACTTATTTGGGTTGGAGGATGCAGCTTAGTGGTAAAACATGACTAGCATGTGTGAGGCCCTCCATTTGGATCCTAGCACCCCAAAAAAGTATTTGATGTTATTTGTTTTAGCACAAAATGAGAAACAAAATCAATGTCTAATAATACTTAAATTTTCAGGAAATTTATCTGATGGAAAGTTAGGCAGCAATTGACTCTTATAATTAGGAATTATAATTTTTATAATCTAGCAATTTATAAAAAGAGCATGTACTATTAATGTATTCCAAAATATTTTGAATTTTTTCTTTCTTTTTTTGACACTGGGAATCAAACTCAGGGTCTTGTGCTTGCCAGGCAGGCACCACCCTGCTGAACTACATCCTTGGCCCTGTTATTTTGACTGTGATTATATGAAGAATTTATGGTCATGGCAAAAACCAGGAAGACAATAATGGTTGCATTCAGATAAAGTAATTCTGGGTACTTTTTCCTCTTTTCAGAATACTTATTTAGCAGTTACTACCTTCTTTGCCTCAAAATAAGACCTAGGCAGAAAATAATCAGTCTTGAAAACCAGAGATCAAAAATGCCGGCCCCTGGCTGGGGATTTAGCTCAGTGGTTCCACCACCACCTGTACAAGGACCCAAGTTTGATCCTTCGTACCAAAAAAAAAAAAAAAAAAATGCTGGCCTGCAAGACAGGCGCGGTACCATTGAGCTAAATCTCCAGCCCCAGTTTTTTATATTTTTTAACTAATTTTAACAATATAAAAGATTTATCCCAACGTATTCAAAAAATATGTTATAAATACTAAAACATATTAAGGAAGTATTTGCATTTTTTTTCTGATAGGTCTCCCACTATCTCAGCAGCTATTATGTATAGTAGCTGCCCTCTTCCTATCGTGCCTTGCCCCCTCCCCTGTGTGACATCATGCCAAGATGGTTGCTCCCACCAAAGAACAAACCCTTCTTCCCAGCATGCCCCTGTTCCCGCCAAGAGAGTAACCCAATACTCGCTCACCTCCTACCATCTAGTGACATCACGGGCTCCTCCATTCCCTAGTCACTGCCTCATTCAACCCCGCCTCAGCCTCTACAAACCCCACTCCAGTCTCTATAAAAGACACTCCCTGCCCTGGCCATGTTGCTTTTGTCTCTCCTTTGTTCAGAGACACCCCGGCAGATCTATTCCCCTAATAAAGGCTTGTTGTGGCCTGGTCTGGTCTTGGTTTTAGGCTCTTTTACCTGACATTTTCTTTTTTTGGACCTAGTCTTTGAAATCTGATGTATATTTTATATTTATAGCACATCTCAAAGTGGTTTCATCATGTTTTTATGTTTTTAGGGCATTTTTTTAAAAAAGAAGGAATAGTTTTGACAGAAACCTTATGTGGCTTACAAAACCTAAAACAGTTGTCATGTGGTCCATTAGAGAAAAAAATTTCTGATACCTGAATTATTTATTTTGTCTTGACGACATTCCAGTAAGGTAGGTGCAGTTACTATAATCCCCATTTTACAGATGGGGAAATAAAGCACAGAGGGGTTAAGTACCTTTCTTTTGGTAGCATTCATTGTGATTTAGAGCAGATTGGAAACTTACAAACTTGCTAATGTTGTGTTTCTTTGCAGTATAAAAAGTACATAGTGGCTCACGTGTCAAAGGATGGCATGGTCACGATCTCGATCCCCCAGGTGGAAACACAGGTGAGCAGTTTGTACTTTAGTAGAGTAAGCTTGGATTTGGGATGTGCTATGACTTTGAAATTCACCACTACTAGTGAAAAACTATTTTAAATAAGCTCATGGAACCGGTTATTTACAGCAGAGGTCGTGGTAGAGGTTGTATTTCTGTATTCTGATTGGACAGCTTTGTTTAATTATGGCTAGCAGCTAGAATTTATAATGAAAAGAAATGCAGTAGCCATAGCAAGAAGGTGAGAAACATCTTTGAGAGTGTTACAGTGTTTAAATTAGTGAGTGGTTTAGAGCTCTTAAGTGTGTATTTCATTTTTTTCATGATCAATATTTTTGAAGAAATTTGGGGTTAGAAAGTAAGGAGTTTCCTGTTTTTTTTTATCATGGTCAAATAATAGTTTTGAATAGTTCAATTATAGTTTAATGCTCCTCTTTCCTGGTAAGTAGTATCAAGAATATATGAGCCAGGCATGGTGGCTCACGTCTGTAATCCCAGCACTTGGGAGGCAAAAGCAGGAGAATTGCCGAGAGTTCGAGGCCAGCTTGAGCTACATAATGAGTTCAGGGCCAGCCTGAACTACAAAGTGAGACCCTGTCTCAAAAAAAAAAAAGAGTATATGTAATTAGATTGAAGCAGTTAAACCAGTTTTTTATTGTACACCTGCTATACTGACTTTCCTGGCCTCAGCAAGCACGCAGGCTGGCTGGGGAGATTGCCAACTATGACAGCGGGAAAAATGCACTGCTACTGATTGGGACAGAGCATTCTGGATCTACAGGGAAGAGATAATTCTGCTTTTGTAGAGGAAAAATTTCTTAAGAAAAGTTTTGGGCTCAACATTTAAGGATGGGTAAAATTTCTAAAGGCAGAAAGAATAGAGAAAATATTCCAGTTAAGAGCAAAGGCTCAGAGCTATAAATGTGACTAGTTTGTTTTAGGACTTAAAATTACAATCACATACACAAAAAGCGAACCAAGATCTTGATGTTAATGTAACTTGGCCACTGCGATTATTCATTTTTCTTTTTCTTTTGGGTACCGGGGATTGAACTCGGGAGCCTGTGCTTGGGAGGCAGGTGGTGGAACCGCTGAGCTCTGCTTATTCATTTTGATAATGCAGTGACTAATCAGTCAATCAGTTCTTAAGCAGTTTTCATTTTGTAATTCACACGACCAGGCTTTAATGGGAGGACTTCAGAAGTAGAAGAAAATGTAATGAAGCAAATGATTCGAACATGGAAGGTATCATAGAGATCGTTTTGTTTCACCCATTTGTGTTAGGTTCTGGTGAGAGGTACAAGAGACCCTACCAAGCTTAGTGCCTGATTTCTGGATCCCTTCTCAGGTTTCTTGGTCAAGCAAAATATTTTACCCTACTTGCAACCTAACTCATCAGCCTGTCACAAAGCACTCCTGGATCAGAGACAAAGGCTTTTATTACTCTTAGTATAGCAGGCAGCTTGAGCTTCATATTCCTGCCCTTCCCCTTGCCCTCTATGTCCCCTGAGGGCCAGATCTGCAGAAGGGCTGGCTGGGTGGATGATGCAGAGCAGTGGGGTTATGACACAGCTGAGAAACCTGAGTCCTTTATGATGTAGCTGCAAGCAAATCCTCCCAGCCTTTGCCTTAGAGGAGACATTGTCTTATTATCCTGTGCAGCAAACAAATCAGCTCTCTGTCCCTAAGGGAAACCCTGTCTCTATTTCCAAGGCTGTTTGCCTTGCAACAAAAGCCGTCAGTGCCTGCACTCATAAGGCGTGCAGAACTCAGGAGACTGTGGAGAACTGTCTGGTATCAGACTCCTAGGATCTAGGACGGGGTGGCGAACCTATGGTACATGTGCCACAGGGGCACGCAGAGCCCTCTCTGTCGGCATGTAAGCCAAGCTGAGCATTGGATAAGAGTTGTTTTTTCTAAACTAAAACCTCAGTATTCAGGTTTAATTGCAGTGTTGGCACTTTGTGATAAATAAGTGGGTTTGGGGTTGCAGTTTGGGCACTCGATCACTAAAAGGTTCGCCATCACTGCTTTATGATAACCAAAAATAATAGCAGCAATCCAGCAAACTTCTCCAGAAGAAAAGGGTGCTGTACAATAAAACATGATATAAAATATAACATCAACACAGTTTTTTAAAAAATTCTTTTATTGGTACATTTTAGGTATACAATATGTTTACATTTATCATTGGGCGTTTGTACCTGAACATGACGTATCTTGGTTCTTACTTTTTTCCCCATTACCTCTGCGCCCTTCACCCCCTCCACCCTTCTCTATTTACAAAGACTTTGTTTCCATTTTTTTTCTTTTCTCATAATTTTTCCTTTCCTTTCTTTCCTTTCCCCTTCCCCTCCCACCACCTCTACACCTTTGGACCTTTTCATATTTCAAATTATCAGTTTTTCATTTTAATCATTTTAATCCTTATTTACACTTTCAGTTTCTCACACCAGAGAAACTACTCGGTATTTACACATGTGTGTCCTGTTTATTTCACTTAAGAGTATCACTGCAATGTGCATCCATTTAGCTATAAATGTCTCTAGTTTCTCGTTCTTTATGGCTGAGTAGTACTCCATTTTATAAAAACCACATCTTCTTTGTCCAGTTTCCAGTTGATGGGCACTTGGGCTGTTTCCAAGCTTTAGCTATTACAAACTGTGCCGCTATAAACATGGGTACACATATATGGCTGTGGTATGATTCTTTTAATTCTTTTGGGAAGATACCCAGCAGGGGAATAGCTGGGTCAAATGGGACCTCTAATCCTAGTTTTTGAGGTGTCACCATACTGATTTCCACAGTGGTTGCACCAGTCTGCACTCTCACCAACAATGGAGAAGGGTTCCTTTTTCCCCACACCCCGCCAGCATTTGTCATTGGCTGATTTCTTGATAGCAGCCATTCTTTCTGGGGTGAGATGGAATCTCAGTGCTGTTTTCATCTGCATCTCTCGAATGACCAGTGATGTTGAACATTTTTTCATATATTTATTTGCTGCTTTTACTTCTTTGTCTGAGAAATGTCTATTCATTTCAGATGCCCATTTTTGAATTGGGTCTTTGAATTTGGGTGGTCTGATTTTTTTCAATTCTTTATATATTCTTGGTAGTGGACCTTTGTCTGAGGTACAGCTGCTAAAAATTTTTTCCCACATTGTAGGTTGTCTGTTAGCTCTGTTGGTGGTTTCTCTTGCAGTGCAGAAGCTTTTTAATAAGATGAGATCCCAGTTGTTGATTCTTTGTGCTAGCTCCCGTGCTACTGAGGTTTTGCTCATAAAGTCTTTTCCTATGCCAATGTCTTCCAGAGTTCTGCCTAACTTATCTTCCAGCAAGTTTAGTGTTTCTGTCTTAATATTTAGATCTTTAATCCACTTCAGTCTTAGTTTAGTGCATGGTGATAGGTATGGATCTAGTTTTAATCTTTGGCAGGTTGAAATCCAGTTTTTCCAACACGATTTATTAAATAGGCTATCTTTCCTCCAATGAGGGTGGTTGGCTCCTTAACACAGTTTTTAATGTTAAACTAAGGATAAAAGTAAGATCTTGGGTATTTCATCCAGTCTGGAAGACCTCTGCCTCTGACTTGCCAGCTTTTCTCCTTAGTAGTGAGACAGATTAAATCTTCTAGGAAGTCCTCAGAGGCTCTAGTTGCTTCCCCTCCTGTGAGGAGGTATAGCCAGCTAGATGGTAGACTTTCTGCTTCGACTAAGTAATGCTTGCCAGTTTGTCTAGCTTGATGAATCTAGAGGACAATATTGTATATATGTACCTTTTTTTTTTTTTTTTTGGTACTGGGGATCGAACTCAGGACCTTGCGCTTGCAAGGCAGGCAACAGAACCACTGAGCTAAATCCCCAGCATGTATCCTTCTTATATGGAGGATGCAGACTTGGCACTGAAAGAAAAGAGATTCACTCGTGGTTTCTCCAACTCTGGAGCAGCTCTTGAGGGTTTGATTTAAAAAAAACTGCAAGGGTACCTTCTTCATTATTTAGAAGACATTAAGATTGAAGTATTGGACAAGTCAGATGCGGGGGAAGGTCCTTAGGTGCAAAATTGAATTTTGTTGGGTTCTAGACAGTGGCACTTCTCTCTCTCAACTCTAAGGCTGGGCAACTCACACTGGTTTCCCTGGGTACAGGAGCTTTCCTTTTCAGTAGGAATATAAAGCTCTATATTGGCAATATCAGGGTTCTGGAGAAGGTAGATACAGAAGTACTGTGCTGTCCCTGGAGACCATTATATCTCTACTAAAGCACACTCACCAAAATTACCGTCTCTGTTTGAACACCACATCTTCTGGTTGATATGTGAGGAATAATTGTGGGAAAGAAAAGCAATTTATCTGTGCTAGAATTATTTGTGAAAAAACTGAATATAAGATTCAAGTCTTAAGATTCACTTCTCTCCCCTCCCCCTACTACCTGTTAAGTATATGTTTTTTACTCCTTAATATATCCTTAAGAGAGAATAGACAATGGGAGAAACTATGGTGTCAGTCTTGGATCTGAGTTTGGGTTGTGACATCATTACATCTTGCATCTTAGAATCTAATATAATTTCAGAGGTTATGTTCAACTTTCCAGACATTCTTCTGCACGTTCGCTTGTGTGAATCTATTCCTTCAGCGTCTCACTTGGGTGTTGAACCTGATGAAGCTTTTGCTGACTGAGCACTTGAAGTCACTGCATGTCGTTTTGCCAGAATTTTGCTATCAGCAGTCTTCCACAATTTATCCTGCTTTATACCTAAGCTGGTCGTTCTCCAATAGGATGAGTGTAATGAGCCTATTTTGCTATGCACGTGGAATACATTAGTTCAGATGGAAAGAATATGCTCATCAGGTTAGGCAATGCCATCTTCAGATCCCCGATATACAATTCCAAATGCATATACACCAAATTGACGAATTTAGTTTGAGAGGGAGAAGAGTGTAATTCTCAGAAAGACAAACATTTTAGGTAGGTCTTATTGAAGACAAACTTAGTTTATTGTCTTAAAATAGATTAAACTTTTCTGTATTTGTTCACATAGGTCTTTATCACCAGTACCTAGAAATTTTGAATACTACAAGGAAAGATATTCTTCTGAGCATTATGGCTGTGAATATAGAAAAGATGCAAGAAGACCCAGTGCTTGGAGAATGGACGATGAGAAACATGGACAGAATAAAACAAGGATTCCCCCTCGTGGAAATTTCTATCATAGATCTTATGAACATAGATCACCTTCCCCAGACATAAGAAAGTCTTTTGACAGTGTTTACACATATAAGCCTCACCGAGTATACTTGTCTAGGAGAGGGGATGGCAACAGAAGACCTCAGTATATGCCCACATACTCAGAGGGTGTACCCTACCAAGAGCATGAGAGGAATCCTTATCCCCAGAAAATGCAAGGGAGGTATATTCCTGATAATTATAGAGTGAGAGGAAGTGGGGGAAGAAGGAGGTCAATTGCAGATTCCTTTACATTTGAAGGAAAGTGGCATGAAGATGAGTTCAGACACCAGAGGATGCAAGAAGAAAAATATTCCCAGTCACCCAGAAGAGGCCCAGAAGACTTTGACACAAGGAGCTCTTTTCAGAAGAGGTATAGGAAAACATTAAACCTGGGTAATTTAGTATAAAGCCTCAAGTGAAAAAATATTTCCTTTATAGTTGAAGATAACCACTTTGAAAATCTTTTGTCTAAAAAGAAAGCATTATAGTTAGTTATGGTCTACTAGTAGTAGTGAAGTGTTTCTTTTTAGAGTAAATCATATTAATGGCTAGAATATTTTTTAAAAGATGGTATTTTCTTCTTTAACTACCTTGTGCCTCTATGAATTGGCTTGAGGGATTATAGGTTATCTTGCCACTGCGTTCTGCATTTAAAACTATGCTGCCCAACATTCTACACATATAAATTCTCCCTTTCTTCTCTGTAGTGCAAGTGTAAACTGCTTTATGTCAACACAGGTATCCTGAGGATCATGATTTCAGAAAATATGGACACACATCAAGAAGAACTAAGGACGTGGAGAGATACAAAAACAGAGAGCCTAGCAGGAACCCAAAGTGGAAGTCTGAGCATTCTTTTCCACCTTACCAAGAGAAGAAGAATCAGCGGAACTTCGGACCCCAAGCTCACCGATATGCTGAGAGGGAATACCCAGAGACAAGTTCAGCACCCAAAGTATCCTATGACTATCGCCACAAGCATAAGCTCTCGGATGATGACCAGGACTTTGCTGATGGGAGAACTCAGAAATACTTGAAAGAAGAAGATAGAAAATATTCTCCAAAAGGCCCTGTAAATAGAGAGTCAGATTGTTTTAATGCTGGGAGAGGGAGAGAGACTGAAGGTGGGCTAGTCAAAGATCCTATTAAACCACCTAAGAAAGACTGCACTCCCTGTGCTCATTCAAGTAAAAATGAAATTAATTTGAAGCTCTGTAATGACAAATGGAAGAAAAAAATAAAGAAAGAAGAAGACTGCAGAAAAGAGAACAACTCTTACAGTAACCTACCGGATATAAGTCAGAACCTTTCCAATGTGAAACCCTCACCTATCAGTCTTGGGAAGAAATCACTTACAGTTAAAGTAGATGTGAAGAAAAATGTAGATCCATCCAGGTATTATCTTTGTTTTCTCTTTATGATCTTTAATCTTCTGCCACTTTTATTTGCAGCTTTGAAAGTAGAACTTGTGTGTTTAGAGTCCATGGGGGTAGAAGGATCACCTGGATTACCTCCAGAAAACCCTGTAATGAAAATGAATCCTGGGCCAGGAATTTGGCTCACTGGTTCTGCTGCCTGCCTCGCAAGTGCAAGGTCCCGAGTTCGATCTCCGGTACCAAAAAAGAAAAGAAAATGAATCCTGCCATTAGTAATAGTAACCTCATGTCTGCTGGTTCCCACATCCTATGGCTAGATGCATCTTGGGTGCCAGGAATTCCATGGAGTTGTTCTTCCTCACGAATTCACGTATATCTGTGCTGCCAGATATTCCTTATCCAGGGATCAGAATTCAAAGAGACCTGATCTTTGCCTTTGCAGTTTCTCGGACCTTGTGTTCACTGTTGTCTGATAATGTTCAAGGAATTTTGGGGAAGGGACTTTAGCAGGGTCCTGATTTAACAGAGGAGGAAAGTGATGCTCTTGAGAGGTGAAGTAACTCGCTCATGTCAAAAGTGACGAGTTTAAATCCATTTATCCCCATGTGACTGCAGGAAGTGGGAGACTTAATGTGGTTCCTGCTGCCTTCCCAAAATGACTGAACTTAATTGACTAGATCCTTCCAGTAGAAGAAATTAGGCCATAATCTTGGAAGATGTCTATTTATAAGACATGTACTTTAGCTCTTAATGATTCTTGAAAAACAGCCTACTGTTGTAATAGCTTATAGTTTCCTAAAACAAGCTTACATGCTTTATTCCATTATTAATAATAATATTATCCCCATTTATGGATTCTGAGAATAGCAAGGTGCTGTAGTTTGGCTGTGTCAGCTAAATCTATTCATTGCCTTAGTACACTACCAGTATGTGAATGAAAACATGATGGACCGTGTTGATTTGATACATATTCACAGTTGACTCCTATTTGTATTTGAATCGAAAACAAGAAAGGAAAATTGAAAGGGTAAGAGAGGAACAGGGGAAGGACTTAAACCCAACATCTATTTTTTAACAATATTTTTGTTCCTTTTCTTAAAGTTAGACACAGCAGCCTTCCTTCGTACTTCCCCTACATTAATTGCAATTGCAGAAAATATTATAAAATATACTAATTATATTTGTGCTTTAAAGGAATTAATATATTGTACTTTTAAAGAATGGTAGAAATACAAATTTTGAAGGATTTTACTTTAATAGACCTCATTCAAGATACTGTACAGTTAATTTTATAATTTGAAATGAGAAATGGAAGCTTGATCTTCATGTGTCACAAAAATGAACTTCCCAAAATTGAGGCTGCTGCTGCACTTTTGTTCTGAATCTATAAACTATAATTTTATGAACTCAGGATCTATCTATGGAGCCTGGTAGGATGCATTTGAATGCTTGACCAAGACCTGCAGGATGACTTATATAATAAAGAGCCTTGACTGCAAATTCTCTCTGCAAAGACCTGAAGAATATATAACTGAACAAATATATGCATCTTTTCAGTACAATAAAGCATCATAGTCAACAAAATCTTTCTCTTTGATTATAATTTATTGGTGACTGAGTTATGGAAGAGTTTTGTAGGTTGGATTTAATTATGTATGTACTGATGAAGTCTCCATAAAACAAAGGTGTTAATAACCTCAGTAGAATTATGTTTTCAACTATTAAAATAAATTAGATTTTTCTTTGCTAGAAAAGATTGAAATAATCATAGAGTGGTGCAGAGAGGGATTTATTTGTTGTTTAAAATTTAGAATTGATCCACTTTTTTAAGGACTAAGATTATTAATTGTATGCATTTGTTTGCTTAGCTTTGATCAAGTATTGATATTTGTTCCTTCAGTTACCGGTATGGTTGAAAACATGAGGCTATCACCTAGTGATTTTTCCAGATTCCAGATTGTAGCTAGAAACAATAGGCAGACATTTGCTTGAATGTTCACCACGTAGTACTTCTGTTAAGAAAGACTGTCCTAGTGACCCACTCTGTCAGAAGCTTAATTATCAGAGGTAGAAGTTACATATGAGCCATGGATTTCATTATATAGCCTAAGCTTCCAGAGGGCAGGCCAATCTATTTGCTTGAGGTTTTGTTGTTGACTTTTTTGTTGGCTGTGGTTTGACATACATTTTTTTTATGAGTCCTAAGTATGTACAATAGCAAATTAAGGTTTAATGTAGCTTTTTATGTTTTTTTTAGTTTTTTGTGCACATCACTCAAGGAGAACATCAGTGGAAATATCCTTAAACAGAAAAAAAATTTGGGAAGAGTGAGGGAAGGGAGCAAAGGAACTTGGAAGATTTGCACCCAGTACTAGAAGTAGCATTAGAAGTCAGGGTCTTGGCTGTATTTCAGGCCCTGAAACAGTCTAAAATGCAATTCACATCAGAACATTTGGTCTTTTCAGTGTAACTACTTGTTTTGGGGAAATTTCCTGAAATTATTAACTTGTTAATCAGTCCATGTCATAAGAAATAATAAGGAGCAGGGGATTTAGCTCAGTGGTTCCGCCTCCTGCCTTGCAAGCGAAAGGACCTGAGTTCGCTCTCTGGGACCAAAAAAAAAAAAAGAAAGAAAAAAATAATAAGCAAAGTGTGAACCAAGAGTTAATTAGATTTACAAATATGAATGCTTTGAACATTTTTCATTCTCAAGTCAGGAGTTTTTCTCGTAGCAAAAATATCATAAATATTGTGTTTTGGGTTTTTGTTTCGTTTTGCAGTACTAGAGTCTGAACCCAAGGTGTTGTGCCAGGCAAACACTCTACCACTTAGCTACGTCCCCAGGCTCCTGGTTTTTTTTAAGGGACTAAAACTTGGGGTTATACTATTTTAAAGTGTATGTTCTAGAAAATGATAATTTTAATATTTTTAATTTAAAATCCTGTCATGAGGGAACTCTAGGATAAGTTATTTTTTTTAGGATAAGTTTTAACTGATAAGTTTAAACACTAAAGTCTCAGAAATTAAATATAACTTCAAAGTGTACTACGGTAGAAAATATACTAAAGCCCTTGTATGGACAGAGTGTTGCATATGGAATGGAGACATTAGTTGTGCCAATAATTAATTTGTAATAGATTATAAGTAAATTTTAATAATTATACAATGAAAACTGGAAACTTTTTTTTTTGTGGTACTGGGGATCGAACTCAGGTCCTTGAGCTTGCGCAGCAGGCAGCGAAACCACTGAGCTAAATCCCCTGCAAAACTGGAAACTTTTATCACCTGATTTCCTCTTATGATAAACTGAGGCTTCAAAAAAAAAAAATCAACTGATTTCTCCCTGTAGTTACAAAACTGTGTTTTTGCTTATGGAACAGGATTTTTGTAACATTAAACCCCTTTTTGTAACTCTTTGTTACTGGAGGTTGTTATGGGCTGTTCTTGCTTTTACCAGTGAATGTCTCTTAGCTAATTATCAGATGCACAGTAGGGAACTTGGAACAAATTAGGAAAGAAGGGAAATGGATCCTGTAATGAAAGTCCTCCTAATGAACCAAGAACCACAGCAGTGGCATCAGCCTGCTGCATAATATAATCACTTTTGTGTGTTTCTGCTTTGGCAAGGAGTTGTCTCTGACAGTGCTGGTCTGAGAGCAGGGAGCGTGGGAAGTCAGATGGAAGCCTCTCCTCTGACAAGTGATCAATAGGCAGGTACTTGAAACCATTTTGTTAGAGGAGTTAAGTTTTTCAAAAAAATCTGTAAGCCCCTCAGGACCCTGGAACAGTTTTCGATATATGGCTATGTGATTTGAATAAGTAAATACATGCATACATGCAGCTGTACCCCAAAACTTACCTAATTACTTTTTGTTTCTGATGAGATATAGTTTATTCTAATGGTCCTGCTGTTATTTAAAACATACTTCAGGGATCTCTAGGATTTACCTTTGGAGATTGTAACATACTTGTAAAGAACCCAGCAGTTTTAAATCTCAGGTCTTTGGACAATGAACTTGATTTTTGGGAAGCACCAAAAGGAATTTAAAGTCAAATACAGAAGAATAAGATAAGTACAAGCTGATTGATTCCATTTTGGATCCAAAGTAAGACAAAATAATATAAGGAGACATTTTCTTCTGCAATGCATAAACTGCCTCCCAGCAAAGAATTTAAGAGTAGTTTTAAGCCAAGAGCAGCATCCTTGAAATACAGTATAGTTTTCCATTAGGAAACTTGGAAGACGTATTCATTTGAATACTTGACCTCTGGGATGTAAAACCAAACAACTAGGACATCCATTGTTTCAGTGCTCATTGTACACTCCCGAGACAGCTATTGTAAAGATTATGAAATAATGGTAGCTCTAATCCCTTACCTTTGATGTTTGGTAAACCTTCAATAAATGTTAGTTCTGTATCATAATCATCATTTTATAGAAGTGCCTACATATCAGGAGAGCTCTTAATGAAAGTTAAAAGATTCAGAAGGTAGGGGCCAGGGATGTAGCTTAGTGGTAGAATGTTTACCTAGCACATGCAAAGGCCCTGAGTTCAACCCTAGCACCACAAAAAATTAACTAAAGTTGCACAAGGTATTAAAGTGGTAAAATAGCTGGGATTATATAACATGGTAGCATTTCTTTAAGGGCATATTAGGGCAAATTGATATTAATGATCAGAACTTCACAAATAACCATTTTCTGAGTGAGATTTTGTGATTAAATTATTTTTTTTAACAATTCAAAGTTCAAAATACTATTCTAAGCTTCTCGATACCAATAGAGAGATAAGGATTTTTATGAAGTCAAAGGTTCTTATGTTTAATACCGGTTTTTTAAATGTATTTCAAGATTGTATAATCTTTCTGGATTTAAAACGTTTTGGCCATTTAGAAGTAGAAATTAATCTGTCTTTAATGCTTTATATTTTTAAAGTAAAAATTCTTTCACTAAAAACATTAAAGCTTTTATTATTAAAATGGTAAATATTTACTGATCTCTGATTTGAAAAGAACTCAGAACCATGTATCTATAGCTATTTTCTTCTAATTGTTATTATACATGTTTTACAGCATATACTTTAGTGCCATAATTATAAGAAAAGATAAATTTCTTTTTAGCTTTGTAGCTATCTTAATTTTCAGTAAGTTATATCCTTAACAAAATAGTTTCAAATTTAGTTAAACATTTGTGAATTATTCTAGGGTTGCTTCTAGCTATTCCAGAGAGAGACAGATGTCACATGATTTGGTTGCTGTTGGGAGGAAAATTGAGAACTTTCATCCAGTGTTTGAACATCTCGATTCACCTCAGAATACTGAAAACAAATCTACAGGAGAATTTGCTCAGGAAATCATAACAATAATTCATCAAGTTAAAGGTTGGTATATTTTACACATATATTAAGGATAACACAATAATAATGTACTGACTTTTCATGAGATATGATACCTGCAATATAGTTTAATAATATTTCATTGTAAGTTATATCATGAATTAGGAAATCTGTTGGAGTATCAGGCATTCATTCAAGTCTAGTTGCTCTTTATATGTGTTTCTAATAACCTTTTGCTTCAACTGTTAGTAGATTAGAAATCACAATTTAGGAAGGGAAAGGGTTTGTATGCTGCAAAAGACAGGCCTAAAGAGTGCAATGAGAAGGAATAACTGATAGCCTAACAAGGAGGAAGAAGCAACAAAAAAACAGATGTGAAACTCGAGCAGCACAGAAGTCTAGATTATCTTATGATGTTCTTAAAGCCCCTTCGGGGCATTACTGGACCTTAGTGCCATAAAGATGTTGCTAAGTTTTCCAGTTTGCTTTGGCATACTACATCAGAGAGTAGCATAATAAATACTTTAAAGATTTGCATGAAATTGCTTTATTTTTGCTCCTGGCAGGTTTTTGTTAATTGGAAAATTCAGTGAGGTAGAATAGCTTTTCCCGGTAATGCTACATGAATAAGACAATTGTGAGGATTATTAGGTAGAGGCCTTCAGTAATTCCAAAAATTTTATTTTATACTTGTATTGATCTTTTTGTACCTTCATAAAACATTCCAAAAATGAATTATTTTCTCTGTGCCCCTCAAGCTAAGGCACATATATATTTTTTGAAACATGCCGATTTCTGCTGGGGGTGTAGGTCAGTGGTAGAGCACTTGCCTAGCATGTTTGAGACACTTGGTTTGATCTTCAGGTATACAATCAATCAGTCACTAAATAGAGAGATAGATAGAGATAGAGCATGCAGTTTTTCTGAAACAGTTCATCCTCTTAGCTCCCACGCCTTTCACCCAAAGAAATGTAATTATTTGGAGAAAGGAAGCCCATATTACAGAAAAGTCCGGGAGATTGTCCCAGAACAGGGACAGTAAGCTAGGAGAAAGGATTGCTTAAGTAGCATTCTGAGGGATCAGGTGTGTTCTCCTTTTCTGTATCCTAGTAAAAGTCTTTTACATAGTTGATTTTAGAATCTCTTCAAGAATCTCAGTTAATGTTAAAGTAAAATGGCTTTGGAAGACTTCTGTGACATGTAAACATAACATTTAGTATTTTTTCAGAATTGCTTTTTTTTTTGGTACTGAAGATCAAACTCGGGACCTTGTGCTTGCGAGGCAGGCAGTGGAACCACAGCTAAATCGCCGGCCCTTTTCAGAATTGTTTTGATCTTTCAGAACAATTTGTTGTTTGTGAAACTAAGTTTTACTCCTGTTGAACTGTAGAGCTCTGTGTTGTCTTTACTTCCCAGATGAGTAAGATCTTACTTTGGAGGAAAAAGATTCTTTCTTCAGAGACAAAAGGTCCTCACTTTGAGAGCACCACTGTCTTTCTCTCTGGACAAGTAAGCAGACCTGTCACATAGGAAGAAAACCCTTGGATTCATAAATTAGGTTTCACTTGGGCTTGGAAAAAAGCATGCAAGCACTTCAAATTAGTCTATGAAATAATTTGGGTCCCCTGTATTTTCAAGAGAAAAAAGATTCTTTTTTTTTTTTTTTGGTATCGGGGATCGAACTCAGGACCTTGCACTTGCGAGGCAGGCGGCAGAACCGCTGAGCTAAATCCCAGGCCCAAAGATTCTATTTTTAATGATCATTTCTTCTTGTGCTTATATATAATCTTTTTTTTGGTAACAGAGATCAAACTCAGGTCCTTGCGCTTGCGCAGTATATATCATCTTTTATTTTTAAAATTTTTTTATTTTTTTGGTACTGGGGATCGAACTCGGGTCCTTGCGCTTGCGCAGCAGGTGTCGAAACCACCCCGGCCCCTATATAATCTTTTAAACAGAATCAGTTTTATACTGAGATGAAATTATTTGTTTCCTTTTTCAGCAAATTATTTTCCATCACCTAACATTACTCTACATGAACGTTTCTCAAAAATGCAAGGCACACATAATACAGATGTAAAAGAAAGTCAACTGAATTCAGGTCCAGAAATTCACAGGTAATGGTTGATTACTGTATTCCCATTTAACTCTTGGGGATTAACCTTAGAACAGGAAGGTGCTGCTGCCTGAGCTTGCTTATCTGGGCTTGTTATATACTCTAAAAGTGCATTTTCTACATAAAAACAGGACCAACCCATGCAGGTACTGGGCCAGTGGACATGGATGAAATAGGTTGCATTGAAGCCATTGACTAACATTATTTAAATGTATAGGACTTTGAAAATGTTTACCTACTTAACTTTGATTCTGCTGTGTCTAATAGTAGTTGCCTACTGAAGTTCTGGCTGGAAGAATGAAAGACAGTTGTCAAGCCATTGAAATCATGGGTGTTTCTTGTCACAAATGGCTATTCTAAGGGCAGCCGCATGAAAACCTGTCTTCTGTTGGCACGTGTCAGAGCAGGTGGTACACCCTGTCTTATGGACTGAGTAGAATCATTTTTAGAATATAATATATCACCAGAACAAAATTGCAGATTCTACAGACTAGTGATTGGAGAACCACTAAAAATTTCTTATAATATTGTTCACAGGATATGTATGTATTGAGAGACTGCCATATAGACTAAAAACCACCTGGTAGCAGGTTTATTTTGCTTTCTCTAAGACATTACCTGCTTTATTTCAAATTCCATTCTGTAGTAGTAGAATCAGGTATTAGTGCATAATATAATTATTTAATTGTAATACCTTTATTATTTTAGGAGAATAGATATATCTTTGGCAGAGCTTCAGAATAAACAAACTATGCTATATGAATCAGATCAGGTAAGTGAATATAATTTTTGATGAGAGATTATCTTATTGTTCGTATACTAATGGGAAAAGAGATTGGTGAAGTCAAGAGAGAGCTGACATACAGGAAGAAGAAGAGTTGAGATGCAGGGATCTGGAATTTTAAAAGTTCTCCAAGTGATTCTGATTATTGGCCAGGTTGGAGTGAGAATACTGACAAAAGACAAAAATATTCCCTCAGAGGGACAGTCTCTAAGGATAATGGCTTTATAAAATTGATACAAAATTACAGCATATAATACTCATTACAAAACTCCACACTGAAGCTTATGGAAAGCATGTTCTGTATGTGTTATTCCAAAGCAGTCATGTGGAATATATTTTTAAATTGTTCGTGGACTGAATTAAAGGAACTAAGCCTCATTTGATATTGTCCTTTTGTTTACTATAGAATGTATGAAAGAGTCTATGGAATATGAACCAGCAAAATATTGGAAATACTACTAAATTTCCTTATTCTCATGTGTTGTGTGTGGTTCCCACCCAACACTTCTCCTCCCACCTCCCATTTCTTTACTAATGAAAAAGATCTTGACTAGCCAGGGAGGAAGAAAGCTGGCTCTTTTTTTAAAAGTTTGTCAAATTCTAAAAGAACTGCTAATTTGTTCATTGAGAGTAAAGAGTTTTTGTAGGGAAAAGATTTTAATATACTTCTGATAGAATATAAAAAATTATTTTTTCACTTGGGAAAATGATTGTAATTTTTATTAACTTTATAGATTGGTTTATTGAGTGGTATGTTCAAAAAATTTCTCATCATCTAAGTATTGCAGTCATCTTATAGGAAATTTGAGGATTTTTTAAAAAATCATCTATAATTCAACTGATTAATAGATATTTGATCATCTTTTGTTGTGGTCTTACATCTTGCATTTTTTGGGAGGGGGTACTGGGGATCGAACTCGGGTCCTTGCGCTTGCGCAGCAGGCGACGAAACCACTGAGCTAAATCCCCAGCCCACATCTTGTATTTTAACATAGCCTCCATCATAGTGTATACACAGTTTGCAGTTTTAATATGTTTTTTTTTTTTTGCTTAATTGCTAATAACATTCCTTTTATGTAAAAATCTCTGAATTCCCCATCACTCTTACAATTGAAGCTTTTTAAGTTTTAATTAACTTTTTTCAGTAAATATTCTTCCATGCTAACTTGCATATAGTAGTTACTAATTTAGATGGTTATACATTATCCCTTTGCATTGTCATAATATATTAAGTTATTCTTCCATTTTCCTTTAATTTTTTTAAGTTACTTTCTTTTTTGTTACTTTAAATATAGTATTTTGAAATTTTTTTGTAGACAGCCTTTTCTTTGAGATAGGATCCAAGAAGTGGGATTCCTGTTTCAATGTTAGGAACTTTTCTAACTGTATTGTCAATTGTGTCTCAAAATATTTGTATTGGTTTATACTACCATTAGCAGGGTGAGTACAAAATAAATTATTTAGGACTTTTAAATAAGGTTCTTGTTAAATATGGTCTTTGTGCAACTAACAGTAATGTGAATGGTTTGTCTTTTGTCAAAATTCCTCAGACTCTGGTCAAAGTAATAGATCCAAATGACCTACGACATGACATTGAAAGGAGGAGAAAAGAGCGGTTACAGAATGAAGATGAGCACATTTTTCACATAGCTAGTGCTACAGAGAGGTAATCAGTAAATGAAAGCCATCCTGTTATCAGGGAGGTTTTGGTTTCAGCATTTTTTCAGTTTTTTTGTGTGTGATAATTTTCATTTTAGTGTAGGGATTTGATCCTTCAAATCCTTTTTATATGTTTAAGTGAATTCTATTGAAATGTTTCAGAATATTCAGTGATCATCATGCAGCTTAATTTAAATAACAAAAACCATGGGGCAGGGGAGTATTTGAGGTCTTCATAATTCTAGAAAGGAGTGTAATAGCTTTTTTAATATTAGCCGGACCCAGGGCCAGTAAGTTTGTGGAATATTTGGCTCTCACTTATTGAAACTGATTCATTCTGCCCTTTTGATTCTGTGGTAGTCTAAATAGTACAGAATTTTCTGAGGTCAATGCAATATTCTTTTAGGACTCTTTGTGGATATCTGTCCATGAAACAGGCCAGTGTAGCAGAGAATACAGATATAACTACATTTGAATCCCAACTCTGCCCATGTATACACTGTTTAATCTTGGAAACATTTGCTGAGTGTTTAGAGAATCTCCATATATAAAATGATGATAAAACCAACTCCTCCTTAAATGACTGACGTATTTGAAGTACTCATGACATGCATGGAAAATAGATCTTCATTTTTCTTTCCCAACCTCATACCTCCTTTTTGAAGCTCTAAGTGGTCTATATTGGCCCCCGTTTATCTCTAGTTCTGAGAGCTAATAGAACTCGTGGTGACTCCAGCATTATGATTATGAGGTGTATAATTGAATGGGGCAAATTTTCTAGTTTGATCAAGGGTCCTCACACTATTTGGATCTCCATAGAGTGGAAATGTATGCGTAGAAAGGGTCAGTGCCAGTCATTCTTCCATAATCATTGGTGTCAAATTACTAAAATATATGACCAGACTTTTAGGTCAAGTCAATGCCAATATCATTCTTAGTCAAAATATATAGAATTTGTTTAAAACTGGACTTGATTTTGACAGTAAGTTTGGGACTTATTAAAAGACAGTGAAGGGCCGGGGATTTAGCTCAGTGGTTCTGGTGCCTGCCTTGCAAGTGCACAGTCCCGAGTTCAAGCGCAACATCCCGAGTTCAATCCCCAGTACCAAAAACAAAACAAAAAGACAGTGAAACTGTGTGTTATGGCATATGGAACAATTAAAATAGTAAAAATCTTGTCCCTTACTAGGTGAAAGTTGTTATTCCTCTAATATGATATAGTTAATGCATGGCATGATTGTTATCTTTAATGACACAAACTGTCATTTTTCTTAACTCAGTTTAAAACCCAATATACCAAGAAACTGGATTTTTCAAACAAATTTAAGGCGATCAGCATATCATAAAGACTATATAATACTTCAGGTTATATCTTTACCCTTTGAGGTGATTAGCACTTGAGCAGTAGGGTTAGACCTGGGTTCATCATTTGGCTCCTAGACTCCTAGTTCTGTGACTGACTTTGGGCAAGTTATTTAGTCTCTGCTGACTCATCTGTAAAATGAGGATGATTAGAATTATACTCACCTCATAGTTGTGGTTAAGATTAACTTAAACAATAAGTGTACAGTAGAGTAGCTGGTTAGTGTTAAACTTATTAAGGTTAGCTTTGATGATAGTGTTGTAGCATGCAAAGATGTCTTACTAGAAAGTGTCTTTTGCTGAGTCTGTTGGATTATTTTAATTGTATTGGGTAGTTGCTGTGGTATAAGTAGCCAGGAGGGTTTTTAAAAATTGAGCTGGTACACACTGTAAAATTCACCCCTTAGAAGTAAGCAATCCAGTAGTTTTAGTATATTCACAGAGTTGTATTTAATTCTAAGCATACCCAAAGGAAGCTGTCAGTCCCCACTTCTCCCTTCCCTCTCCTTGGGTAGCTGCTGTGCTGTGTATGGGTTTGCCTAGTTTTAACATTTCATATAAATGCAGTCATACAGTATGTGGCTTTTGTGACTGACTCTTTCATGTAGCCTAATGTTTTAAACATTCATCCATGTTGTAGCATGAGAATACCTTTTAAATCAAGTCAGTGTGTAGTTTCCATAGATATTCAGGAAAAAAATGAAACATGATAAAATAATAAATCACAAGATATCATGATTTCCCTTATAAAGTTGTAGGCAGGCTCTGTGTCTACACTGCTCATTATTGTATCCCCATTGCCTTGAGCTCTGTTCATATGTGTTGAGTGAATGAATGAATGAAGATTTTGCAAAGGAGCAGACAGGGCTGAGGGTACTTAAATTGTAGTACGTTTCTATCAGGATTTTTATTCCTTGATGCCTCGGATCCTTGACCAGCTAGTCTAATTCTTGGGGAATCCTTCTAGTCTCCCTGCTCTTCTGATTCCCCTTTCTGATCAATCTCTTACCCTGATGTCACCATGCCTTGTAACACACTATCTATCCTCTTCTAACTAGTCTTAATAAGTTTACTATCATGTAATTGAGATGTGTTATATAGGTATGGGCTGTGTATGATAAAGGAGCTTAAAAATAGTATTGCTGTACTTCAGGAGGACTTCAAACTGCCAAGACTTTCTTTTTAGCAAGACAGCTTATGGTGAAACATGAGTTTTTATTCTTGCTATTGTAAAAATCTATAATCTGTAGTGAACTAGAGTGAACTTTACACAGGTCTTTTATTCATATATTCAACAAATATTTATATGATAATTTACTTTGTTCTAAAGTTATTGTTACAAGCATTGAGGATACAGTGAAAAACTATATACAAAGGCTTTGCCTCTGTAGCACTTAGAATTTAATGATAAGAGAGAGGAAATAAGGATATGTCAGTGGAGTGATAGGTGAAATATGAGACAAAAGGGAAAATTCAATAGGAAAGAGTGATATGTGTGATATGATTTTAAAAGTTTAGCTGGGGTGTGAATTAAGAGAGTTAGCCACAGGATTACTTAAGGGGGGGATAGTATTTCAAGAGAGAGATTAGAGGCCGGGGATTTAGCTCAGTGGTTCCGCTGCCTGCCTCATAAGCGCAAGGACCCAAGTTCGATCCCCAGTACCAAAAAAAAAAAAGAGAGAGAGAAACTAGCAAATGGAGAGACTTTGAAGCAAGAGCATGGTTGTTCTTGTTCAAAGATTGGGGGGGGGGGCTACACCAAGGAAGAAAAGGGAGAGAGTTAGCAGATGAGACCAAATCATGAAGGACCAAAGGACATGAAGACCGTATTTTCCTCTGAATGAAATTAGAAAACATTTTGGATTCTCACTGGAAAAGAAACATAATCTCAACTAAATTTTAAAAGGATCCCAAGCACTGTGGGAGGCAGAGGCAAGAGAATCACAAGTTTAAGCCCAGGCTGGGCAACTTAGTGGTGTAATGAGACCCTGTCTCAAAATTTTAAAACGAGGGTGATGGGCTGGGACCATAGCTCAGTGTGAAAATCCTGGGTTCAGTCCCCAGGACTGCAAATAACGAATGAATGAATGAGTGAATGAATAGATGGTTCACTATGGTTGTTGGGTAGAGAATGAATTATAAGAGCTAGAGAAAAATAATTTCCTTGTCAAGTAATAAAGTAGAAAGTCTGCATGATAGGGAGAGATGGTAGGGGAGACCCCTCAGGAAACCAGGCTCCTTAGATCTTGCTTTTCCCATGTCTTCTGTATATGGGGTCTGCCTCATGGTTTAGATGGGTATTTATGCACTAGTAATCATGTCCTCATTTTAGCCTTTCCCTTACTGACTTCCTGAAATTTACACATGGCACTTTAACACTGTTGGTCAAAATTTAGTCCCATGGCCATGCCTACCTGTAGGGAGGCTTGGGAAATACAGTAGAATCTTTAACTGGCGGCTGTTTGTTTGCCTGGCCAAAAATCACATATCAAAGAATTTATTAAAAAAATTTTAAACTTTACATGTAAAATTTACCATTTTAATTGTTTTTAAGTATATAATTAATTGTCATTAAGTATATTCACCATGTGCAGTCATTCCCATTATCCATGTCTAGAACTTTTCATCTTCACAAACAGAAAATCTGTACCAATTGAACAATAACTTCCCATTCTTCTCTTTCCCCTACACCTGCTAACCTCTTTTCTTTCTAGCCCTATAAATTTGCATATTCTCGTTTCCTCATATAAGTAGAATCTTACAATTTGTCCTTTTGTATTTGGCTTATTTCCATTAGCATGTTTTCAGGGTTCATCCATGTTGTATCACGTGTCAGAATTGCATTCCCTTTTTAAAAAAAAGTCATTCCTTTTTTAAGGCTGAATAATATTCTGTTATGTGGCTATTTCATATTTTATGTATCTGTTTTTCTGTTTATCAACATCTGTGTTTTTTCTACCTTTTGGCTGTTATAGGTAGTGCAGTGTGCTGTTATGAACATTGGTGTCATCGTTTTTATTGTAGCCTTCATAGTAGATGTGAAGTCTTACCTCATTGTGGTTTTGATTTGCGTTTCCCTAATAATGATGTTTAACATCTTTTCATATGCTTATTAGCTATTTGTATGTATGTCTTGTCTGGAGAAGTTTATTTTCAAATCCTTTGCCCATTTTATTTATTTTTTGTTTCACATCTTTTTTATTAGTGCATATTGTTTAAACAGGTTAATGTGTTTCATTTTGGCAGATTTGTACATGTACATAACATACTTTGATCATATTCATCTTCCCCATTACCCCTACATTTTGCCCATTTTTTTTTTTCAATACTGGGGATCGAGCTCAGGACCTTTTGCTTGCAAGGCAGACACGGTGGCACTGAGCTAAATCCCCAGACCCTCATTTTACCCATTTTTAAAGCAAGTTATTATCTTTTTATTGTTGAGGTGTAAGGTTATTTATTCTAGATACTTCAGGCTGAGTATTCCTTATCTGAAATGCTTGGTTCAGATTTCAAGTTTTTTTGGATTTTGGAATATTTGCATATATGTAATGAGACGTGTCAAAGATGAGACCCAAGTCTAAACATGAGATTCATTAATGATTCATATACACCTTATACGTACAGCCAGAAGGTTAATTTTATACAATATTTTTAGTGTGCCTGTGTTTTGACTCGTGACCCATCACATGTGGTCAGGTGTGAAATTTTCCATTTGTGGCATGATGTTCTTGGCCCTCAAAACTTTTCAGATTTTGAGGCATTTCAGATTTCAGAATTTTAGGTTATGGATGTTCCACCTATACCCCCTTATCTGATAAGTGCTTTGCAAAGAGGGTATTTAAAAGCCCATTGTTTTGTTGATAAAAGTAGTCATATATGCTAATAGTAATCATTTGGAAAAATGTAACAAAGTATAAAAATAAATGGAATTCTTAATTTCACCAGTTACAGATGACTACTTTTAGTATTTAGTACATTTCCTGTCATTTGTTTTTCTAGGCATGTATTTTTAAATAATTGAAAGTATCTTTAATATATAGCTTTGTACCCTACTATTTTGACCCTACTGTCATATCATGAGCATTTTTGACAGGACATGGGGGTTTTCTAACATTTCAAAAGACCCTGAGTATTTCATGCCAGTTTCTGGGGACAGAGCTAGGGCCACAAAATGAACCATCCACAGTGCCTCCTCTGAAGGAATCACAGCCTGTTTCCATTAAACACACAGTTATACCAATAGTTAGAACACAGAGAGATAGGCTTTAAGACCCCAAACATGTTACGAGTGCACATAGTGGAGGGTACTTCTACTTCAGATGGGTTTAGGAGTCTTCCATGGAAGTGGTACAAATGGAGCTAAATTTTGAAATTAATTTAAGTGGAAGGAAATGCGTCCAGAAGGAATGAACTGTAGATGTAAAGGTATAGAAGCAGGAGAGATTGTGGTGTGTGCCAAAGTCACATGTAAGTAAATAGCACTGAACACTCAGTGTCTTTTTTGGCAAAATTGAAGCAAGTGCAGCGAGAGCCTGAACGTCAGAGCCATGATGAGAGTGGATTTTATCCTGATGCCAGGGCGAATGCACGGGAGGATCTAAAGCAGGGCTGAGGGACTGAGCAGTTGGTTCTCCATGGAGCAGGAACTGCAAAAGACATAAGAAGGGCCTCGGGGGCATCATGACAAGCTGTAGGATGTGACAAGGAAAGGAGTTCCCAATGGCTATGAAACTTGAGGCTTCCGGAATCAGAGGAAAGCCAAAAAGAATGCCCTCCCACCCAGGTGGGGCCGCTTGGGAAAAGCCTTTGGTAGCGTCAAGACCTTGAGGTGTTAGAAGAGGGGAGCATGTCCTTTGCTGCTGTGGCCTAGCAAGCAGTAAAAAGCCCTCAACTAGGGCCAGGGATTTAGCTCAGTGGTTCCACCACCTGCCTCGCAAGCACAAGGTCCCGATTTCGATCCCCGGTACCAAAAAAAAAAAAAAGCCCTCAACTCTTCTAGTGAGACAACCTTGAGCCAGATCTATACTCAGTGAACGGGCCGGGCAGTGGCCCATTGGTGCCTCTGCTAAGAAGAATCTTTCAGCAAGGGGGAGGGACAGTGTTGCCAAAGGCCCCAGAGCATTGATGATCTTTCCTGAGGAAGCATACATTATACATATGAGTTACAGCTTCCAGTAAGCCTGTTCTTGAACCACAGATTGAGAACACCAATACAAGGAATACAGTTTCTTCCCTATTGTTAACTTCCAACTTAGCTAAACAATGTTTGTTGAAAAATGATGTTATCCCAAAAAATTATCATTTGTAATTTTAGTAGTGACAAACCATTGAGGTTTACTGCTGTGCTACTTTATTGTCTCTGAAGGGGCTTTTAAAATTTTTTTTCTTGTTTATTTGTTGGATAAAGACAAACTGATAAAAGATTCTTATTTTCTCTTTCTCATTTTGTAGGAATGATCAGCATTCCAGTTTTTCAAAGGTGAAGAATATTCATACTGATGGATTCCAGAAATCTACACATTTTATAAAAACAAATTTTAGAAAATTTATTCAGAAACCTTACATGGTAACATTGGAGTTCCAAAATTTTCATTTTTCTACATTCTCCATTAATCTCTATATTTTAGGGCTGGGGATTTAGCTCAGTGGTGCTGCTGCCTGCCTCACAAGCACAAGGTCCTGAGTTTGATCCCTGGTACCAAAAAAAAAAATCTGTATTTTTTACGTTGTTTATAACTGTTCATTAAATATGTGTTATAAGATTCTGTTGAGGCTTACAGTTAATACAACAAAAGAAATATTCATCACTGATATAGTAGAATTTTATTAGATTTATTATAGCACTAACTTTCTTAATTTGTTTAGGAATAACTTTATTAAGATAGAATTTGAGTACCTTAAAATTCTCCTATTTTAAGTGTACAATTTAGTGATTTTTTTTTAGTAAATTTACCAAGATGTGTAACCATCATCATAATCCAGTTTTTGGATATTTCTATGATTTAATAAGAGCCCTCATGCCTGTTTAGTTATTCCTTGTTCCCACCCCCAGGCATGCACTACTCTACTGCCTTAAAGATTTGCCTTTTATTTTATTTTATTTTTTTGCTATTTAATCAGAAAATATAGACTTTAATTTCTAGTTTTTAAATTGTATAAGATTCTTTTGAAGCTTTATAGAGTCAGTTTTTGTAAGTATCCAGTGGATGTTGGAAATAAGTCATTTTTTCTACTGGAGATAATGTTCAGCATGGAAACATCAGTATTACTATTTATTTCTGACTATTTCATTCTCTTGATTTTTGAGAGAGCTATAGTTGCAGTGTTCAGATACAGTTGTGAATTTTTCTTAATAGAATTCTAACATGTTTACCTTATATTTGATACATGTTGCTAAATATGATCAGCCCTCTGTATTCACAGATTCTCCATCCTAGGATTTAACCAATCACAAATCAAATATATTTGATAAAAAAGTCTGTATTGACCATGAAGATTTGCCTTTTGTAGGGCAGCTCACAAAATGGCAGCTGTCTTCCATAAATAATAGCTAGAATTATGGAAGCTAGAGTCAGCAAAACCTGCCTCCTATAGTTTTGAGGATTTGTATTCTTCTTAGGTAGTAGGACCTCTTTAGCAACTTATAATAATAATGGGTTTCTCTTTTGAACACCCGAATAAATAAATCCTAGTATATAGTCCATATTCAAAGTCACCCTCTGTTTCATACAGGAGTGTGTTTTACACATCTCACGAGTACGTGTGAAACTGGCCTCTCACGAATCAGCATAGATCATGTAAAAGAAGTATGTGTGTTCCTATAGCTAAGCTCCCGCTTCCTGCTTTGGGCTCTTAATCCTATACATTTAAATATGTGTCTTTTAAATGGTCAAACTAGTTTTTGAAATAAGCCTTAAAATATATTAACCCATAGTAATACTTTTTCATGCAGAATTATACTATGCAGAGAAAAGATATTACTCAGAAATTATCTGGAGTTGAGAGAAACCAGCAAGGCTTTAAAAGACCTTTTAAGGTATTGAGTGTTGTTTTTCATTTAATTCAGACTTTGGGTTTATGCTTTGCACACAGTGTTGTGTTAAAATTGAAAGCTGTTTTTGTGGTAAGAGGCTACAAACTAGTGTTTGAAGATGCTATAAACTAGTGTTTCTGGTTTACATGAGTATTTCTAATATTTATAGTTAACTGGAATCTGTTTAATAATGACTTCTTTCCTCAGGACTTGATTTTTAGTTTTTTAATGAGTAAAATCCTTTTTTCAGATATGACCTGGAAATACAAATAAATAAACAGATACAGGTGGAGTGACTCTAGGTAGGGTGGCAGGCAAGGTCCTTCCTGCCTGCAAGGTAAGCCTTCCTCCTAACCTCTAAGATGTAAGTGCAGAGCCATCACGCCTGCTCCAGGATTCCCAGACTGAAAGACTTTGCCCACAGACATGCAACCTTCAGAGGCCTTCTGGACACCAGAGAAAGATCCTTGTCCAGACAGCTTTGTTAAAGCATATTTTATCACTAAGTTCTAGTTATTTGTGCACCTATATCTGATGCAAATGATAATTTTTAATCAACCAATATCTTTGATTACCCAGAACACCTCATCCCCAAAACAAATAGAATTAAAATTATAGCACTGCTGGGGATTTAGCTCAGTGGTTCTGCTGCCTGCCTTGGAAGTGCAAGGTCCCAAGTTCGGTCCCCAGTACCCAAAAAAAGAAAATAGTTTTAAAATTATAGCACAGGGCCGGAGATTTAGCTCAGTGGTTTCGCTGCCTCCTACGCAAGCACAAGGACCCGAGTTCGATCCCTGGAACCAAAAAAAAAAAATACAGCATTAAGTATTATGTTTCTCTTTCCTCTCAAAAGTTGAGATTTTTAAAAAAATCTATTTGACTGAATTTCTTTTTATGACCGGTCCTTTATACATACTTTTTACTCTGTGTTGCCCTTTCCCCCTTCCCTTAAAAAGAGAAAAGAATTTGAGGGTTTTTTTGGTGAAAGTAGCAGGTGGACTTGCCATAGTAATTAGCTCATTAGGAAGACATTAGTATGAGCGGAAGGGAGTATAAACTGTTATAAAACCTTAGACTAGGAAGGTAGACGAGTGGTCTATTAATACTTGGTTTCTTAACAGTCAAAATTTGTAGATGTTGAAAGGTTTCTTTCCACTGGGAGTAACATAATTTGTGGGTATTGCATAGATTATATTTTATTCCATAGGTCATATAACTAAAACATGTATAATATTAGGTTTTCTTTGGTAGCTATGGCCATAGAGTATATAAACATTTTATTCCATCTTTTAATCTCTTGAGTGATGAGACATCAAATCAAGTGAAAATATGATGTCTGAATCACCTAGAGTCAGTATAGGTGGATGTTTATGTCTAAGTGCTTCTACATGTTGCTGTTCTCATTAGTGAGACGTAGTTAATTGTGTTTTTCTAAGATCATCACATGATTTATTTCCTGTTATCCTTTCTCCTTAAGGGAAGATTCTTTGGATTAGAATATTTTCAAAATATATGCAATAATTTTTTATCTTCACCAGTCATTTAAAATTGTATAATGTTATAGGTTTGCTTAGAAGATTACAATTGTTTTAGTAAAATCATGTGAAGAAATAATCCTTTCTAAGTAAAGGAAGTATTTTATTAAAATTTATTTTTGCATGAATTAGACTAAAAGCCAAATAATAATCAGCTTATGAGATGTGTAAAAAAGGACCATGTCAATCTCAAGGTTGGCTGTGCTATATCAAGTTTGTGCAGATAGTTACAACAAAATTAGAGTATGTCATTATGATTCTCTTTTACCTGAAATTTTCTGTATCCTTAAGAAAATAATTGGAAAGTAAGCCCGGAACAGGTACTTTTTGGTAAACTTATGTGCTTCATTATGTATGGCATTCCCATTTCTAAAATAATAGTGAAAAGGTAAATCTTAGTTCTTTTAATTACTCTGTTATACCATTTGTACGTTTGTTTTGCTGATATTTCCCATGATCTGTTTTCTGTTTATTAAGTACTCTGGGGATGAAATTTAAATAAAATAAGCCAAAAATAAGTTTCAGAAAGATTAGGAAGGAGGGGATTTAGTTCAGTGGTTCTGCCGCCTGCCTCGCAAGCGCAAGGTTCCGAGTTGGATCCCCAGTACCAAAAAAAAAAAAAGATTAGGAAGGAAGACCACAAGTTCAAGGCCAGCTTTGGCAATTTAGCAAGACCTTGTCTCAAAAAAAAAGGTGAGGGAGGGGCTGGGAATGTAGTTTAGTGTTCCCTGGGTTCATCTCCATATCATGAAAGGAAGGGAGGGAAAGAGGGAGGGAGGGAAAAGGAAAAAAAATGAAAAGCAACAGCAGAGCAGTTCTGGCAGTGGTAGTGCAGCTGACTAATCCCAATCTCTTTTCCTTCTGGCATTGCCTTAGCTGCTGTTTAATCTAAATTTTATTTTCAGAGGGGAAACAGAGTGTTTAAAGAGGCCTTTTATTTAAGGCAGTATAATGCAGTTGTGTTTGTGAACAATTATATTGACTTCCCTAGAGGCTCACAGTATATTTAATCTTATAATAGTTTTTTAGGATTTGTTATTGTTTAGCTCTTCATCTTGAGAAAATCTTCTCTTTGATATCTGTATAGGGCTATACAGACTGATTCAGACCTTAACATTATATAAAGTAAATGTGTTCTTGTTTTTGTCATTTTAGCTTCTGTTTTAAACCTTAATGGTTTACAAATAGTAAATCCCCTCCAGGCATTCCAGAGGGGCAAATCATCCCATTTGATGGGGACATGGTCATGTAGTAGTTGGAATGTGACTCCGGATGTTTTTAATTCAGAGCAAATAAAGAAATTGATTTAGAGACAAAGCTGTCACCATGCAACTTTGTCATCAAACATTTCTGTGTAGATTACACTTTCCTTTTTTGTTTTTGTTTTGTTTTGTTTTGAAGTGGGATCTTGCTATGCTGCCCAGGCTGGCCTTGGACTCCTAGACTCAAGTGATCCTGCTTCAGCCTCCCAAGTAGCTGGGACCACTGGTGCACATCACTGTATATTTTCCTTTTTAATGTGAGCATTTGCTTTGAGAAATCGAGAAAATGAAAACAAATTAGCTGAAAATAAAGTTTATCCCTTGGGGTGGCACACCCCTGTAATCCCAGCACTCGGGAGCCTGAGGCAGGAGGATCACCACAAGTTTGAGGCCATCCTGGACTACAGTGAGCTCAGGGGTAGCCTAAACTACAAAGCGAGATTCTGTCTCAAAAAAAAAGAAAGAAGTTTATCCTTGATTAATTTTTTTTAATTTTTTTTATTTTTGGTACTGGGGATTGAACTCGGGATCTTGCGCTTTCGAGGCAGGCACTGGAACCACTGAGCTAAATCCCCGGCCCAGTCCTTGATTAATATTAATCTTCTGAGTAGAATTCTGATTGTATTTTAAAAGGGAGTACATTTGGAAATAAATTTTGTACGCAGTGGCTGCTGTTTTGAAGGTAGAGTTTGTAAATTTTTTTTCGGACCTTTGCCCCTGCCCTGTAAATGAACATTGGTTGAGTCCTTAACTCTGAGTGGTAAGGACAGATGGAAGACTATGGCTTTGTGTTTGTGCCAGTAAAGCTGAACGTTGCTTTATGTTCTTCAAACCTGGGGAGCCCTTTTCCTGGATCTCTGTAGACTCCTGTTGGCAAAATCAGAGACTAGCTGCCTATCATGTCCCCAGACTGGCATCTGCACTAAATTGTCAGCCCCTATAAGAAATGGGGCGGAGGGGCTGGGGATTTAGCTCAGTGGTTCCGATGCCTACCTGGAAAGCACAAGGGCCTGAGTTTGATCCCGGTACCAAAAAAAAAAAAAAAAAGAAAGAAAGAAAAAGGGCGGGTCTGTTTCTTCTTTCCTTTACACATAGTATCAGGTATGGGTTTTGCCAAATAAGTTCAAAACAATCTTATAGTTAACTATGCCCGAGAGAGCATGTTGGGTCAATGATGTCTTTTTTTTTTTTTTACCCCGTATCTTCTCTTGACTTCTTGGAATTAGACTTCCAGTATTTAGTTTATGTTGAACTTGTCTCGTTACAAGTTTAATTTTGCCTAGAGTTTTGCTTCATATGATTTTGCATTTATTTTTAAATTTTTTTCTGGTACCCGGGATTGAACTCAAGGCTTTGTGCATACTAAGCAAGCAACTCTACCACTCTACCCCCAGCCCTACCCACTTATTTCTTATAGGAGGATTTAATGGGGTGATTATGGGGAGAAATCCCTTCTGTAGTCAAGAACTTAATATGCAGCCTCTTCTAGTGAGTTAGCAAGTAGCCAAGGTGTGGTGTTGTTGTTGTCTGGAGTATTAGAGATTGAACCCAAGGCTTTGAACCCATATACTTTGAGCTACATCCCCAGTCCTTTTTTATTTTTCTTTTCATTTTTTTGGTACTGGGGATCAAACATGGGACCTTGCGCTTGTGAAGCAGGCGGCGGAACCACTGAGCTAAATCCCCAGCCCCCCCCCCTTTTATTTTTTATTTTGAGTCAGGGTCTTGCTGATTCACTAAATTGCCCAGGCTGGGCTTGAATTTGTAATCCTCCTGCCTCAGCCTCCCAGAGTAGTGGGATTACAAGTATGTACTACCATGCCTGGCTTTAAGACTTAGTAGGACAGAGATGGACTCCATCTGTAAACGTTTGGGCTACTTCTCCCTTTTGTTTTAGATTATTGTAGGAAGCTGCTTGGAAATACAGACAGCCATGAAGAATGTGTGGTAAAGGGATCGAGGGAGGGAGGTTTGGAGAATTGTGCAGGAAAGATTTGGAGAGGATTGGTTCATGTCTGACAACACTGAAGAGTCATCCTTTCTCTACCCCTGGCACTAAATTGCAGGACCAATTCCTCTCATCAGCCACTTGGGAAACAAATATTCATTGTCCTCTTATGTCTATTATTTATTTATTTTTTGGTATTGGGATCGAATTCAGGACCTTGTGCTTATGAGGCAGGCATCGTACAACTGAGCTAAATCCCCAGCCCCTCTTATGTCTATTATAATACTGGACAGTATGCAGGCTAGGAATTGATCTTTATAATTCATATAAGCTCTAATTTTTTTTTGTGGTAAAGAAAGATTTATTTGAAGGCATTGACGAGAACAGAATTTAAAATGTTTGATCCTTAGTATCCTCTTTCCCCCGCTGGTATTTGATATTGTCACTATGAATCAGAAGAATAATTTTATTTCATTAGAGGTTTTGAAAATTATATTTTTGGCATGATGAATTTCAAGAATTTATTCCAAATTCTTTTAACAGTTTTAAAAACTGATTTTATGTAAAAAAGCTTTTAAAATGGTATATAAAATAAGCTAGGAAAGTAGTTTGAGGGAAATGTGCTTTAATGTAATGACCCCTTCTCTGTTAATATCTGTAGTGCCTAGAATCAAGGGCAGCCCTAAAAGCCGGTCATTTTTCTGTCTGTTATGCTAATAAAATAGACTTGAAAACTGTAGTTTTGATAACACTTCTTTCTTTCCTTTGCAGAGTTACTTTAGAGGTGGCAGATTCCAGCCCCAATATAAATCAGACCTGGTACAGAAGAGCTTATACATTCAGGCCAAATATCAGCGTTTACGATTTGCTGGTCCAAGGGGATTTATCACTAATAAATTCAGGGACAGGTCACCAAGGAAAGAAAAGGTTAGTTGGATTACAGTCATTTAAAAATATTGAGTGACTTTGAACTTTAAATCATCTGTGTTCATTAGATAAATTGGGTTTTTCATTTAGCTTTGATTTTTAAAACTTAGATTTTTTAAATGTTCTTATTTCATGACAGTCAAGTAAAAACTTCACAGAGTAAAGCTAATAGAATTATGAGACTATTAAAATGCTTATTAAAATGAGACCTTAAGATGCTTTTAGCTATTATACCTCAAATACTTTTAATAGGCTGGCTGTTTGAACTTTTTACTTTAGAATTTCTGTTGTATAGTTAATCTTTGAAATGGAAACTTAGATAAAGACTTGTAACATTTGCCATTTTAATTATGTTTAAATATGTAGTTAAGTAACCTTAATTACATTCACAGTGCTGTACAATCATTTCCATTATATACTCCTTAAAAATTTAATTTTGACAAGTAAAATTTATATATATTTACAGTATAAAACTTGAAATTTTGATACATATTGTGGAATGGCAAAATGAAGGTATTTAACATATGCGTTATTTTATACACTTATTTTTTGTGATGAGAACACTTAAAATCTACTTTCTTAGTGATTTACAACTTTACAATATGTTATATCTTCCTAATCTTCCTATCACCATCCCCCCCTAGTCCCTGGTAACTACCATTTTGTTCTCTACTTCTGTGCAACTTTTCTAGATTGCATATACAGTGAGGTCATACAGTAATTTTCTTTCTGTGCCTGGCTTATTTCACATTAAACAATGTCTTCCAGGTGTATTCTCATTATCTCAAAGGTCAGGGTTTTCTTCTTTTTAAAGGCTGAATAGTATTCCATGGTGTAAATACCTACATATTCCTTATCCATTCATCCATTGACAGATACTGAGGTAGATTCCATCATGCTAACTCTTTTTTTTTTTTTTTTTTTTGGTACCAGGGATCGAACTCGGGTCCTTGTGCTTGCGCCCCAGGAGGCGAAACCACTGAGCTAAATCCCCAGCCCCCCATCATGCTAACTCTTAACAAAATGTTTCTTTACTCAGTAATTTGAATTGCATACTCTTAGTTGTGGATTGATTTTACTTAAATTAGCCATGTTAGTATTTGAAAATGCAGCATAAATATGAAATAAAATTATCTTCTACATAATTACATTTTAAATGAGAACAATAGCCTTGTATCAATTAAATGAAACATATTTTTCAGTTTTTAAAATTCATTTTCTAGGCCATTTTCTTCTGAGAAATGTACATATCTCTAGTTTTGTTGTCAAATAGCTCAATTGTCATTTTATAAATTTAGAATCAGATCTTTCTTTAAATATTCATGCTTATGAAGCCTTTACACTGAACTTGCTTAATGATTTTAATAAAACTAAACATTTTTCAAAAGACGGACCTGTCAAATGACGATTGTTTTGGGGGTTTTAGAATTAAATAGAGTATCTTATGTAAGTCCCCCACTCCTCAATTTTAACTGAGTACCTTAGATGAGGTTTCTAATTTCACCATGTATATCACTCGTGGTTTTAGGAAAGCCATCTCTTTTTTTAAAAGCACAAGTGAAATTGGAGCCATTTCCCCTCTCATATTCCACCGCCTCACTGTCAAGCCTGTGGCAGGGCTTGGACAGAGATGCCACTTCTCTTCCTGCCTTGTGGGACAAGTTTCTCTGCAGCAGCTCTTCTAGTCATTTGTTCCCAGGCCTGGGTGGTAGCATGACTGTTCTCAGGGAAGCTAGTCATTGATTTCCACTTGAAGACCAGGACCAAGACAGGCTTTTTCCTTAGTTGCAAGGTTAATTTTCTAGTGCATGGTGTCTGTTTCTCTTCTGTTAGCTCCATGCTAAGCTTTGAGATTTAGTTTCATTTAACTCCATTTTTACTTGTATTTTTAGGTGACTTGCGGCTCCTAAATGCTTGAACTTGCTTCATTTCATTACCCTTCACAACAAATGGAAATTAGACTTCAGGTCTTCATCATAGAAAATAAGGAGTGTGTCCTAGTAGGAGCTACAATCTTTAGAGTCTTCATTCTTTAGGCCTAGGCTTTTGTATCATCTATAATGTAGCAGTTGTACTTAGAGTCCGTTGTGGGTCAGAACCCTGCCTTCCTGTTGCTGCTCACTGCCATCTGAATTCTCTAGAAGTGGTCCTCGAACAGTGGATTTTTAAAAAGCAATGTTGGGCCCGGGATTTAGCTCAGTGGTTCCAGTGCCTGTCTTGCAAGCGCGAGGTCCCGAGTTCAATCCCCGGTAAAAAAAAAAAACACATAAAAACACATAAAAAAAAAACCACATAAAAAGCAATGTCTACTGCTTTGTGTTGAATGTTCTTTTTCTTAGCCCTACGACTCTGGATCCTACTTCATATATCTTTGTATTATAGCTACTTTGACCTGGGCTTTCTCAGTCTGGCCAGTGTCAGTGCCTGCAGCCAAGCCAAAGCCAGACATTTTATAGAGCTGTATTTGAACAAAACCTACCCCTGCAAGAACAGCACTAAATAAAGTGCCTACTATTAGAGTCCTACTTAATACTTGGGCTTCATTTTTCTAACTTTAGGGAAAGGAATGAGGCATTACAGCTCCTTTATTTTTGCCAAGGTCTAAACTAAGGTACTTAAAGCTAACTTGGCCTTTAAGCTGTCCCAGTAATAGTGTGCTACTCTGAAATCCCATACTGTGTAAATAAACTGACATGGCTTGGACCTATCAGTCCATTTTACCTCAGCCCTTGTGCCCTTAAAAAGAACAATGAAGGCCTGGAATCTTTGGCTTCTTCTAATGTTGCTTCCCTTTTTCCTTAAATTAGGTATGCAGTTTTGCTCAAATGGGGTTACTGGCTGTGAGATAACATTTACATCACCTTTTTCTGTCATGCTGGGAATCAAACCCAGGGCCTTGCACATGCTAAGCAAACACTTTACCGCTGAGCTGTACTCCTAGTCTGCATTTGCATCACTTTTTATCCCAAGCTTTAGCATCAGAGGGAACTTTGAAGGTCCTATCCTAGAAAGATACCTTAGTCTCTGTAGTATCTCTATACTTTGGCTTTTTGCTCTGTTGTGGAGTTCATTTTTTGGCAGTTAGAAGACTATCATCTAGATTAATTATGGATGTATGATTTATTTGGTGCCCTGAAATTAGATATAAACTTCCTACATGCCTCAAAATCCACTGGAAATATTTAGGTGGGTCTTGTCTGGACCCCTTCCCTCCTTTATTGAAATGCCTGGACTGATCATTTATGGCTTGAACATCTTATGTTCGTCATTTGCAATACAGTCTGGTTATTATACTATCAGACTATGTGTTTCCTGTCTTTAGTACAAACAAAGCCTTGGGGACTGATGGAGGTGGATTCTAGATATGCTCCTAATATGTCCTCCTCTTCTACTTACCAGAAATTCTTCCAAAAATTGCATTGGCTTCCCAGCTGCCTACAAAATAGTAAGACTACCAACCAGAAGTAGAAAAGTGTCAAACTGAAACTTTTCCTTACTCGTCATATACTGCCATATTAATCTCATTCTGACAACCCAAGTCTCTTATACTGAGTTTCTTTTTTTTCTTGGATTCTGTGCTTGGGATGGAAGATGAGGGGGTGTCTATTACCCTGGAATAAATCTTGTCTTTTATCCACTAGCATTTGAAAGTGTCCTCTCTCAAATATCTTCTGCTTATCAAAGAAAGTTTATGGAAACTCTGAGGGGTTTATGCGATTATGTATCAGGAGAGGACAAAGAATCTAGTAAGAATTCATGAGACCACCTCTGAGAAATTGCCTCTGAAAAACTCAGCAATTGTGCATTTGGTCAGGAGGCATGGAGTTCCTTTACACTGGATTCTCCAGCAGTTCTTAGGTGCCTGTAAGCTGCCCATAGATAAGAAAGGAAGACAGGAAAGGACATAAAGACAGTGTAGAAAGGAAGTTAAAGACTGCAATATGTGGAGTTTGAAAGAAACCTTGACAATCATGGAGCACAAAGATAGAATGAGAACCAAGATCAGCGGAACCAACAAGAATTTATTGCATACCTGCTACGTCAGCTGAAATGTGTGGGGTGCAAAGGGAGCGTTCAAAAAGGCATCATTGCCACTGGGCATTTGTGACCTAGAGCCTCCTCTCTGACTTCCCTGTCTTATTTGGTGGTTTCTCTTCTTTCATACATTATTTTACAGTGTAAGCATTTCCTAGTGTGATATTTGTTATTCTCTTTTCTTATTCCTCCTACTTGGCTTGATTGCTCTCACCTCTCCAAGATTTCACCATCACCTCTGTTGATACATTCAATCCTGACCAGTCCCCGGACTTCTAGATGTTCAGCTGCCTCCTAGGCACCCTCACACAGCTACCCTAAAAAGCACCTTAGCCTTACTTAGCATGTTCAGAGTCAAACTTGTACTGAAACGTGCTATAGTATGAATGATCCTTAAAATATGCTAAGTGATAGAAGCCAGGCACAAAAGAACACTAATTGTATGGTTACATTTTGTCCAGGACAGGCAAAGCCATAGAGATAGAAAGTAGATTAGTGATTGCCAGAGACTGGGAGGTTAGAAGAACATTGTGGGGAAGAATAGGGTTATTGCCAAGGGGCCTAGAGTTTCTTTGTAAAATGAGAAAAATATTCTAAAAGTGATTATGGTGATTGATGGTTCCACAGCTCTGTAAATATACTAAAAAGCCACTGAACTGTTTACTTTAAATAGATGAACTTTATAGTATTTGACTTATATCTTAGTGAAACTGTTAAAAATATTGTCAAACTTACTATCCTTCCTGGACCAGTTATTTCCCCTCATGCTCCATAACTCTTGCAGCTAGCCAAGCCAACATAGAAGCCTGTCCTACTAATCCATCCTCCCAGTTCTCCTCCAACTCTAAGGTTCCAAGTCATTCTGTCACTCATTCATAACTTCATTCGTTTATTCATTCATTTTAATTGCTGCATATTATTCCACTGTATCCATATATTATTTATTTCAGTGCTTTTCAAACCTTTTTGCTTACATGGTCTAAAATTTTGTAAAGTTATTTACTTTCTTGCACATTTTAGGTTACCTATTTTTATCATAAATTGTCGTAAAGGACATTATCTCTGGCATATTATAAACACCAACAGCCTTAAATAAAACCTACATCATTCTTTGAAATCCCTTCAATGGAGCTTGCATACCATAGATATTTGACAACTGTAATCATCCATTTTTTAAATGCACAAATAAGCTCTTTTAACACTAAAGAATTTTATATTGTTCTTTTTTGCCTTAAATTTGGGTTTCATCCTGCTTCTCCAAGGAATTTATCTTTAAAAGTATTTTATTACTCATCAAATCTAATTTGGCATGTAATATTATTAGATTTCTGTTTCTGGTAGATGTTAAATATTTCCTTTAGATTGATTTAATATTAGAGTTAATCAAAATACCATAAGTATATTATAAATTTTGTTAAGTATTGACTAAACAAAAGAAATACTAGAAATGCATTTCTTTTTTCAATGAGTTCATGTATTCACAGATAAATATTATTTACTGCTAGTAAAATAATACAGTATTCAAGTACCTATTCTAATTCTATTTTTTATTTTTATAGATATGAGTGCTGAGAAACCTTGTTTATATGATTATATAGATGGGAATGCAAGGATTTCTATAAGAGCAATGCTACTTGGTTCTTTGGACTCACTCTGAATTATAGACCAAAAAAAAATCACTTAGTGAACTATCACCTAAAAATATTTTGAGTGTTCGATCACTTACAGCTTGATTTTCTCCCCCTTAAATTTTTGTTAAGCAAAGTTAAAGAATTGGAAACTGATTTAACATGCAAACATAGGCTGTTTATTACTAATTGTTAGGATTGGTTTACTTAGATTCAGAATAGGAAGAAGGTATATCTTTCTTGTACACAGTGACAGGCAGGGAACCAGCCTTAACTAATTGTGCAGGCAGGATAATTTTGGAAAGTGAACACTGGGAATTTGAAGATCTGGAAATTAATTCCCTCAAACTGTCTGTACCTGCATATTCCTTTGAAAGTCTTTGTATACTCTTAAGAGCTTGACTACTGCAGTTCAGTGATCCCTGACTTACCTAACCAAGCCTCTGTTGATAACTTCAGGATAGCTTACAGGTTTTCATTATTTGCAGTATTACAACTTGAGCACATTGAGATTTTGGTATCTTACAGTCAAACCAACAGTATGTGAGAAGGCCTACATTCCAGCCATCACTTCACATTATCAGTACTATCATCAGTCTAATAGCAGAAAGTAGTTCTTATTTGCCTTTCTTTGTTAATGTTGTGAATGTCTTTTTTATATGTTCATTGGCTAATTGTGTTTCTTTCCTCAATTTCCTTATCTCTGTACTTTGCCAGCGTTGCTGTTAGAAGCTAGTAGTTTCCTTTTTTTTTTTCCTTCAATTCTTTTATTGCTACATTTTAGGTATACAATACATTTACATTTATCATTGGGAACTTGTACCTTTACATGATGCATCTTGGTTTTTATTTTTTCCCCATTCCCTGCCCTCCCTTCACCCCCTCCACCCTTCCTTATTTATAAAGACTTTGTTTCCATTTTTTCCATTTCTCATAATTTTTCCTTTCCCCTACCCCTACCCTTCCCACTTCCCCTACCCCTTTGGACCTTTTCCTCCTATTTCACATTATCAATTATTATTATCAATTATTATCAATACTGCAAATAATGAAAACCTGTAAGCTATCCTGAAGTTATCAATTATTCTGTCAAGTTTGTCCTATATGGCTTTAATTTCATATATGCTTATACTTATAAAAATTCTTTACTGGTTCCTTGAAGTGGTTTTATGGGTAATTTTTAACATATTTAAAGTTTATTTAATGAAGCATATAGTTTAATTTTACAATATAGTATGTAAGACTTCAGTTTTCCCCCAGTGGATGTCATTTTTTCTAACACCATTTATTGAATAATTGCACCTTTCTCTGTTGACTAAAAGCACTGTCTTTACCATATTCTAGATTCTTACATATTCTTGGCCTGTTTTTGGAAGCTTTGGAGCCATCTTGTTTCCTTTCCTCCTGTGATTTGCTATTCAATGTCTTCACTACTAGCACAGTCCTGGAGCACAGATTATATAATACCATTGCTACCACCTACAAGGAAAGAGATCAAACTTTTTGGCAAGGTCTAGTTCTGAGCTACATTTATAGTCACATTTCCCCAGCCCTCTGCTCTTTGTGGTTTCATTGCTTGTACCTTTGTTTCTACTGTTTTCTTGGCTAGAAATAGCCTCCAATCCCCATTCTTCTTCTTATCAAACCCTACTTTCCTTTTAAGGCCCACTGTGAAACCTTTCCAAAGCCCTCAGTTTAATTCCTGGGTTTTTTTTGATACCGGTGGTCAAACTCGGGACCTTGTGCTTGCAAGGCAGGCAGCAGAACCACTGAGCTAAATCCCCAGCCCAATTCTTGTGTTATTTGTTCTCTTATTATTTCTTTTTACCTTCCTATTTACCCACGTAAATTATCCAACTTTTTGTGAATAAAGGGGATTTCATTAGTCTTTTATCTTCCTCTGTTGCTTTTCATCTAGTCAGTCTTTAGAAAATGCTCATTGGATGTAATTGGATCTGATCATTCATAGACACACACACACTCATCCACGTGTCCATGTGCTCTAAGAAAAGTTAGTGAGCAAAAACCATGGTGTCACTCTAGAAGGCTGAGGCAGGAGGATTGCAAGTTCAAACCTAGCCTAGGCAACTTAGTTGACTTTCTGAGATCCTGTCTCAAAAACTTAAAAGACCTGGCAGTGTACAGTGGACCTTCAAGTTAAAACTGGCCTGACATATGAACAACTTGGGTTAATGGAAGATTCATCTGCCTCTTGTTATCTATAGCATATACCCAGATAAACATCCAGATCTCAGCCGTATTGACTTAAAACCAACTTGAGTTACAACCAGCCCTCAGGAACCGATCGAGTTTGTAAGTCAAGGGTCCACGGTAGCTCAGTGCAAGGGTCTTGGGTTCAATCCCCAGTACTGCAAGAAAAAAACACACCACAACCATTGTTTTATGGGTCTGCAGGTTGGATGGGGACTTACAGGACTCAGCATCTAGTTGCACTTATGGTTATGATTTATTACAAATGAAGGATACACAGCAAAATCAGCCAAAGGAAATGCCACATGGCCTAAAGTATGGAGGAAACCAGGTAAAAATTTCCAAGGGTCTTCTCCCAGTAGAGTTGCGCAAGACATGCTAAATTCTCCAAGCAATTTGGCAAGTTATGATAACACATATGAAATGTTGCCAGCCTGGGAAGCTCACTTGGGATCCAGTGCCCAGCATTTTTTCTGGGGACTGATTGTGTAGCCGCCTACCCCATCCGCCACCTGCCAGGCACACACCCAAATTCCAGGCTTTCAGAGGAAAGTAGATGTTCAGCATAAACAATATTATGAGAGGCCCTTACACTAAATTCCTCATGCTAAGAGCTGGGTAGAATATTTAGGATTTGAGGTGGTAGCAGTCAGATATCTTCCTAGACTGAAAAGGAAAAAATGGTACTTTAGGATGGTCTCTGGGTTAGCAGTGGGTAGCAGGGTCTAGGGAAGAGAGATAAAGTCCAAGAGGAACAACAAGGGAACATTTGCAGTGACCCAGGTGTCAAGCTATGAAAACCTAGATGAGGGTACTTGGACATCTAGTGCGGTACTCTACTGTGCCAAAATAGGCTTTCCGATTGCTAGAAGGATAAGCATAAATTTGAGAGATGGTGTGAAGGATGAACTAGTTCAGAATAAATTCCACATTTTTATAAAGAAGATAACTTCAGTTAAACTTTTCTTTAGAATTATTGTAGTTAGAATTTCCTTTTAATGTTGTTAGTAGGTAACATTTTATTTGAAAATATATTTATGTGATTTTATGTTGTGTAATAAATAAGGAAATAGAATACAGTGAAGTCTACCTCTGTTTAAAGGAATGATTTTGACAATATATGTGATTGTGTTTTGAACATTTTATTAACCAAAATAGAAAGAAAAATAAAAGTTTTCTATCAGCACTGTTTCTGCTTGGAATTAAACAGCTCCATACTAATATAAATGCCAAAAATAAATCAACTTTTAAATTTCTTTCAGTTTTAATAATGTAAGATCCTAGGAAAAGGTAAGGATATGTGTATTAATAAATTTTTATTTTTAATGTCCCTGAAAAACATGTCATTCTACCATTTTTGTTTTTATTAGTTGCATGGTCTTATGTCCAGTTTATGATTAGTAATTTAATATTTTGCATAGTACTATAAGTCCAGTTTATGGTTAGCAATTTAATATTTTACATAGCGTCACAGTACAAAATCCATGTTCATTACCCTTTAATTGTAGTCTTAACTGTTTATGTGGATTCCTTTTCCCAAATTTATTGAAAATTTACACCTTTTAGAGTCATAGGTAAAGGTCTAAAAGCAAGAAGACTTTTCCCCTTCTAATAGCCTTCTCTGTAGTTGTCAGTTATTAGAAGAGTCCATATAGTTTTAGAATTAGAGCTACCATGTGATGGGAAAGATAAAATACGAATTTGAGGTTGTGCTTGTATCACATCAGGCTCCATAGTGGAGAGACTGAGGTTTAAGAATCTGGAATTTATGCCAGGGAGCCCCACTGAAACTCACTCAAAGAGCTGGATGCTACAGTCATCAATTTACTAATACCAGTGTTACCTAATGTCTTATGTTTCTTGTCTTACTGTGTTCTGTTGTTACTTTGCGCCTTTGGGGTCCCACATACCTTTGTGGAGATCCTGAGGTGCAAGTAGTACTCTGTTAATTAAACTGTTTTGAAAATTGCACTGTGGCTCAGATGTTACAATGGGCTCTTCTTTTGAAGTCTGTATTTCTCTTGTTTTTTCTCAATAGGAATATACAAACATTGCCACAGAAACCTAATCTGGAATTGTTGCAAATGGAAATGCCACTACAGGAGGATATTTGGGAGCATCTCTTTTTGTCAGGAGTTAGAATTGGCACTAAGGCACTAATACTGTAACTTTTCTTGATAAAATAACTATTTTTCAGTAGTGGAATGTTGCAACTTTTTTACACTTAACAATTGCTTTTAAATTACAGTATTCAATTTAAAGGTTGTATTAACTACCGTTCCTTTTGCAAAAAGTTTGATTAGAATCACTTGAAGGGCATTATTTGCTGATGCATTTTTCTCTGAGCATGGTTTCATCTAGAGAACTTAACCAAGTTATATCCAGATGTTTATATGTTCAAAGTTTTGTTTATGTAATAAAGCCAAAAGTATCTGAATTGTATAGTGTCTGTACATGAAAGAACTTTAAGCAGTGGCCTTACAGTAGTAATTTTTATACCAAGTTTTTCTTTTTCTGATAACATTTTGGCTTATAACGAAGTTTTCTTAAGTTTCTGAAGATCAAGGCCTGTATAATTCATACATTTCATATTATAATAAGGCTAGAGAAAAGGTGCTTCAAATTTTCCGTCAAGTAGTTGTGAATGCACTGAATTTTTAGTAATATGTTCATTCAGTTTTTTTCCACAACTATTTGCTGTTTTCCAGTTTCCAAATGCTATTGTGGAAATATGTAAAGATTTTATAACCTATATTCCATCTTACTTTTCCCTCAGGGCAAGCTTGTGCATATCATATTTTTAAAGGCTTTTAAACAATCTGACAGACAAAAACTCATATTTGAAAATTGTACTTTACTACTACAGCATTACACATTTTGCAAGCACATCTTATAGACTGTTTGTTTTCAGTTCAGTTAATATGTACCATGTACCTACTATGTGTAAGATACAATTGATGGAATTTTAAATAAAATGTTTAGATCCCAGTACCTTATTTCTTTATGTTTTCTGTGTCTTACTTAACAGTACATATACATTACCAACTAAATTTTTGTGAAATGTGTTTGTGTAATAAAATATTGTTGCACTTTTTGCTTGAAGAAGTTACTTGGCAATTTGTGTGAAAATTATTTTAATTTTCTATGATCCTTAGATCCCTAGTGTCTTAGTTATTTACCTTATTGCTGGAACAAAATACTTGACAGCCAAAAATGAAAGGAGGAGAGGTTTATTTTAGCTCACAGTTTGTATAGGTTTCAGTTCCCAATCTGTTGGGTCCAAGGCAGGATGGCTTGGCAGAGGAGAACTACCCTAGGAGGGGACCATTCAGGAAGCAGAGAGAGATCCTTGAGGGAGGAGCCAGGGAGAAAAATGTTTCCAGGCCATGCCCCCAGGGACCCACCTCTTCTGGCCAGGCCCCACCTCCTAATAGCAAGTCAGCTGTTGACCCCCACAACACAGTCACCTTTAAAAAGCCCTGCCTCTGAGCACAGGAGGCACTTGTGGGACATCTAGATATAAACTGTAACACAGGGATAGGACCTGTTGATGTTTGATGCTGTTCAGCCCTTATGAAGACAGAGCTTTCTAAATTGAAATGTAAAGGTTGATAAGAACTTGTTTTTTCATAACTGGATTATGAAAGATCTTAACTACAATCATTTAACTTTTTTTCCATATCTTGAAAAGATGGAGCAACCTGTGTCTTAAATGAGTCAGTAATAGGGGATCAAGAGCACTGGATTCATTGCTGACTGGACAATAAATTTAGGTAGATGGCCTGCATTGTACTGTGTACTCTCTGCGGGTCAGGTTTTTCAAATATATTGGAGGTACCTGTTATGGTAAGAAAGAAACACATGCACACAATATCATGGCAACTTTATATTATGCAGTTACTTATAAAATCTGTCTCAGATTTTGTTTTTGTTTTTTGGTACCGGGGATTGAACTCGGGACCTTGCACTTGTGAGGCAGGCAGCAGAACCACTGAGCTATATCCCCAGCCCTGTCTCAGATTTTTAAAATAATTGATTTCATTTGTTCCCATATTCTAAGGAGTAATCTTGACCTTTGAATGCTTAATTATTTGATTGAAAACTGTTTATTTCACAGATACTATGCTAAAATTTCATCAGTAAACCAGAGGACAGGATACATGGCCCCTGCCTTTATGGTATGAACAATTTAAGAGGGAAAATGGACATTAAACTTAGAAATGAAACTAGGTAAATAGCATTGATTCTGTAGTTTTATTTTTTTTATTGTAGCACATAAGGGGAAAATGGCTGATTTAACATTACTCCCTCCACAACAGATGCCATATTTAGGCATATTTGGATATACTTTGGCACTGTCTCAAAATGCAAAGCACATTATATACACACACACAAAAAAAAACGTATTTGGAAAACATTGCTTTTTTAAGATGTATAGCCTAAAAAGAAATACATGTTTTGTAATTTAGAGTAGAGAATAAGGACAGGGACCATGTTGCTCTTGTTCACCATAGTATCCTCAGTGCCCAGCATCCTACTTGATACTTAATAGGACTTCATTAAATATTAACTGACTAATGAATGAGTAATGAGTAGAATATGTCTGTTAAGATTTATGTATGTGCTGGGTGCAGTGACACATGCATGTAATCCCAGCTACTTGGGAGGCTGAGGCAGGAGGATCTTAAGTTCAAGCCTACCCCATGCAACTTAATGAGACCCTGTTGCAAAGTAAAAATAAAAAGGGCTTGAGGTGTAGCTCAGTGTGAAGGCCAGTACCACAGTTTGATTGCCAGTACCACAGAAAAACAGACAAACATAACAGCTACAAATCTAACTTTCACATGGAAGTTGAACAGGAGGTTATCCATAGCATTTTTAATTGACTGGAAAGAATCCATAAGATTTGAGGACAGTTTGTGGATGAACTCCATACCATTAGCCCCCACTGCCCCTGTGCCGTGTGCTAGGTCCTTTGGTGGCACTAAGAAGTCAAAGATAGTAAGACATGGTCCCTTCTTTGAGGAACATAGCTATTACTGGGCAAGAGATTCACAAAGATAAAGAATTGCAACATAAAAGTGTTAAGTACTGTAACACGCATAAATGCAGAAGGCTGAGAGAAAAGTTGACATTCCTCATTAGGCATCCCTTTGGGTTTCTTTCCTGTTGGCTTCACAAACCTCATAAGGTACTATTCTTCTGGTAGTTTTGCTGGTTTTAAAAACTGACCCATTGTGGGAAACAGTAAAGGGCACACAGAATCTCCGTTATTTGTTATAGTTGCATGTGAATCTAATTATCAGAATAAATTAAAAATTTTAAACTGTAAAGCCAGTGCTCCCTGCCGCACTTGTGATGGCTTGGGTCTGGATTGCACCATAGGCTCTCGGGGGAAGTGGATCCTTGAAGCCTCTTTAGCGTCAGTTTGGTTTGCAGACAGCTTGGTTGCAGTAGTACTGAGACCATGGATGGGCTCTGTCTGGGAGCTTTGCTGATTTGCAGCAGCTGGACAGTTTTCCTCACCAGTGACTGTGTCAGCATAGTTGTGACATCATTTCACTGCAGTAGTGGGGACTCAGCTCTGAATCTGTATAGAAAAAGCAGGTGGATCCCAGCCTTTCAATGGCTTTGAGACAACTAGAAGTGCCTACTGTTGAGCCTAGTAGACCTCTAGGCAAGGACTCTGCCCAACAAGATGAGCTGCTAGCATTCAGCTATGATGATGCCCTTGAGGAATCTGTACCTGCCCGCGACCCCTCCCCCACTGGACATGGGCAGCATCCCCAGAAAGCCAGTGATTCCAGAGCTCAAGTACCAGCTCCTTGCCAGGGGGAGGAAGGAAAGGCCGGTGGATTTCCCCACCCCCACCCCTGCTGTGACCATGTCCATGGCCACTAAGAGTACAGACAATGTCCTGGTGGTGAAAGCTAAAGCTACCCCTGTCATCACGAATTTTCTGATCACAAAAACTAAACCTGCAGAGTGGAACAATAACAAAAGTAGAGAAGCAGCCTGCATCAGCCCAGCCCACCTCAAGCAACACCCCTCATCCTTCCCCTAAGCAGGGGCCTAGAATCACTTCTGATTCCGCTACAGTCTTACCTGGCCCAAATGCTAGCACCTTGGATCCTAGAAGTAGGACGACAACTTATCAGTAAATGGAGCCTCTTTAGACCAAGGCCGCTCCAGAAGTCTGATTTTACCATGCAAGTCTGCAAAGAAGCCTGAAAACCCTCTCAAGTGGAGCTGATCTGTGCCAGGTCACCCGAATGAATAGAGCTCCAGCAGCCTCACGCCATCCAAGATGGATGTCCCAGTGACAGAAGGGGAGAAACAACTGACAGGGACCCAGAACCTCAGTGTGCTCACACTCACTGAATTCTTGAGTGCTTTCTATCCCAGAGACTCTAGATAGAGGGTTTTTTGTACCTATTCTCCTTTTACCTTGACTCTGACATAGGAATGGTATCGTTTTTTAAAAATCTCTTACAGGGAGGCTAGAGCTGGAGACATAATTGATTTTTGATAAACAGTGCAAAGCTTGTCCTTGTGTAGAAGAACCGTCTGGTAATGCTTTACAGTTAGACAAGAATAATCTCAGCAGTGATCTTTGGGGGACTTCATCTATTTTTGTATCATTTACCCTAGACAAGAACTTGGATCATTGCTAATTATGTAAATGATGTTCATGCTATTCCAAGACACATTCTGATTCTTTTACCTCTATCAATGTGAGAATTGACAAATCTGGCATAGAGGTTCCCACTGATGAGTTTGGACAACTTTGGCCCTCTTAACTCTGCCAGTGCTGTGCTCTACCTTTGTCAACTTGGGGGACTTAAGCCCTATTTGAGATCTGGGTACACTTAACAGCTAGACTTGGCAAGAATCACTCTTTCTAGGCTAAGACTGATATCTTTTTGCTTTTTTGGTCAACATCATGGACCATTCTGTCCTGTGGCCCGTTCTTCATGCCTCTTGGCACCTTGTTGGGCCACTGCTGTAGGAGGGATACTTCTCTTCTATATATCACAAAACAAACAGTAGTGTATATCCTTTTTTGCACTTTAAAGTGCTATTAGTTTAACCATAATTTAGTTTGAAAACTTCCAAAGGGGTAAAATTCATACTACTGATTTGGTGCTGATAAATGGATGGGGGGGGAGGCGGGGCACAGCCCTACATATGCTAGGCAAATGTTATACCACTGAGCTACTTCCAGCCCATGGAAGTCAAACATTTTTACAGTAAAGAAGATGATAAGTACTGTTAGATTATAGACTTAGGGTTCATGTGAAATGTCACCTTATTTTGATTTCTTGTCCAGGTCAAGGCCTGAAACTTGGGAGCAAGGGTGGAGGAGTTCCAACTTTTCTGGTAATGAAAGCATTTTTACCAAAATGAGCCGCATACCTTTATGTAATATATATCTTACTGAGGAAAGAAAATAGAAGCTGCCTTTGTATTTCTCCTCATGATGTACATGTTAATTATCTTGAACACTGTCTCAAATATTTGCTGTTTTTGTTTGGGGTAGTATTTTCTTCATATAATGAGCTGGACTTGTCATAGAGATGCCGTGGAGTCTAAATTTTTCAGGGCAATTAATTTATTTGTATTTTCTGTTATGACAACATGTTTTGACAATAAGAATCTTTAGTACTTTCATAAATTAAAAAACCACCTACAGTCTTATCACAGAGAAAACTATCAAATTTTTGAAGGATGCATTTTAATTTGTTCAATTGGAAAGAATTATTATATTTATATGACAATTTGTGTAGATGCATAAGAATTACCACATTTTACCTAATGAATTTTGCATTTAAAAATTTTTAAAATTTATTTTATTGGTACATTTTAGGTATACAATATAATGACATTCATCATTGGAAATTTACACCTTTACATAATCTCTCTTGGTTCTTATTT